AAAAAGAGTGAATTTTATGATATGTAAGTTACATTGCATTAAAGCTGGTGAGAAAAACCACCCTAAGGAGTTACAGATGAAGAAACTGAGGCTCAAAAAGGTTGGGCATATTGTCCAAACATGTAGCCAATGGGGGCAGAGCTGGGGCTTGGAGTTGACCCCTATGCCCATGATCACCATTCCATAACACCAGTGAAACTGGTTCAGAATTCTCACAGGCCCAATGCTGAACGAAGGCCAGGATGCTTCTTTTTCTACAATCCTCACCCTAGCAGTGGGATGACGTGTCATAAAAACCATTCCCAGGGTGGTGCTGTCTCAGTGTGGGTTGTTTTTAATTGATGTGTCATGGAGGTACCATTCCATATGGCTTCAGGAAGCAAACAGAAGAAAATATGATGAGTGAAAAGTAACACATGTATCAGGACCTGCAGTCAAATGTGTGTGCAAGTGAGGTAAGCTGGCATGCTGTAAAAAGCGTGGGAGCTGCAGAGAGGAGCCCTGTGTTCTAGAACAGGAGGAAATTAAATCGATGGTCTCTAAGGGCCCCGCCACTTCTGTAAAAAGCGACGCTCCCAGTATTTCACAAAAGAAAGCTTGTAGTCTACCAAGAAACAAAGACAGACAGAAAGGGATAGCGCTGGAAGTCAGGTGTAGGATGAATTAATAAGAAAGGGCAACACAAAGACACCAAGTTTGTTAGAACCGCTGGAAATGCAAAAATCACATCTGTGGGCAATTACATCATTCATCCTTTCAAGAAACGATTACATAGAAGCTACTGTGGACCAGGTCCTGGATGAGGTACTGAGAATGCCGGAATGAAGATGACACAGAGCCCAATAGGACAAGGCCAAGATGTGGTAGGATCTGGGACTTGTTCCTACCTGCTGTAGCGTGAAGACACCAGCTTCCCAGAAGATACGTCACTAGCATTCATGTACTCCTTCACGAAGAGAATCCCTTTGCTGTGGAAGGAGCACAGCAGAACAGAAAGAAGTATACTTAAAGATTCCAGGGGACGGGGCCTGGCCCAAAGGAAGGGTCCAGGGCTGGGACCCCCCCCAGCTGGTTTGAAGGAAGTGCAGGAGCTAATGGGAAGGCCTGGGGGCAGAGGTGCCGGTGTGCTCCAGCTACTGCTGGGCAACGAAAGTGGCTCATGGGAGCTGCTGGACTGCTGAGCCCACAGGGAACTCAGGCTGACACCGAAGCCCGTGGGTTCAGCTTGCCGTGTGTGGATGCGAAAGCCCTAAAAAGAGCCTCCCTGCAGCCAGTGGTGATAGACAGCCTTCCTTTACATGGATCGCAACACTACTGGAGGCACCCCCGCCCTGACTTCAGTACAGTGGACTTTCCATCCCTCCTCTCTGAATGCGCTTCTCCCCCCTTCTACCAGGACCAGGGGGTGTCTAGCCCTCAACCTTAGACGGTTGGTCTTCTCCACTGTGTGCATCTCCATCAGCAATCTAATCTCCCCCTTGTCACTCCTGGAGCTCCAGAGGCCTAGAAGTCACTTCATCCTAGAGAGGCCCCTGGCAACATTGGAAACCAGGTCGGCCTCGTGCTGGGCTTACCACGGTCCCAAATTTGGCCTTATTTCCAAGTTTGATATCAGCAGAGGCCCCTCAGATATCCCCCCAGACACATACCTCATTCAGCCTCCCTGCAATGGGTCCTTTCCTGCACTCTAAGATTATAGGTGAGGCCAGGGATGCAGGTGAGTCACTGGCTGTACACCTGTCTTTATGAAGAGTAACGTGAGGGAGACGGACATAGGCCCTGGCCTCCATGGGCTTTCTGTGGCCTTCCCAGGCTATTAGCAAGGTCCTATGGATGGCAGAGCCCTAGGAAGTGCCACCTCAGCTTCTCACTGGGATAGGGACTCGGGCTGCCCTATGTGGCCCCTTAACCAATGGGCTGCTAGGAGTTGGAGGTGGCACTAGAGCGAATGTCAGGGAACTGACATGGGAGAAAAGCCTTCTAGTCCTTTAGCTCCAGGGAGGAGGTAGCCCAGGGAACATGTCCAGGTTGTCCCTTCTTACCTGTTTGAGCTGGAGTCCAATTCACTTGGGGAGGCTGGGATGTAAATATGAGGCTGCTCAGCAGCAGCAGTGACTGTAACCGTGACCATACAGCTAGAGGGGTTTCTCGCCCTGAAAGAAGTGGAGGAAGGGGCGAGTGTGTCCACACTGAGAGCTGACACCAACAGGTGTCAAGCAGGGTTGTAGGGGCCTAATCCCCAGACTGCCACTTCAAGTTGTAAAACATGCCAATGTTTTTGAAACAACACTTGCAAATCACCGAGCTTTTGCTCTTCAAGGCTCCTGAGGTCAATGAGTGGTACCACTGACTTTGCAGATGAGAAAAGGCAGCCAGGTGACCCAGGTCACACTGTGAGTCAGTGGTAGCACCCAATCTTCCAGTATCTACCCAGAACTCCCCACTGCAGCCAAGGGCCTTGCCCTGTGACTCACTTGGTTAGAGCATATCCAGGGGACTACTGGGGACTTGACAGATACAGTCCAGCTCACCCCCTCACTGGATGGGAAAGCCCCTTCCTAGGATCAGCTGCCCCCCTCCACCCCACCCTCGAGTGAACTCGCCAGAGAGCACACGGCTGAGCGAGAGAGGGACAGATGAATTTAAGCATCACCGAGGAAGAGGCTTGGATGCAGCTCATTCTGGAAGGCACCAGCGATGAGCAGAGGCGGGAAACGGACAGGTATAATGGTTTCTCCGAGTCTCCACCCCTCGACTGCAACACACAACCCATTGCCCGGAATCCAGCCTCTTAGCCAGCTCAAAAGGCCTTTCTCTGGCCAGGCCCTCACTTGCTCTAACTCTGCCTGCTCCTGGATCGTCACTCCTATATCAAAAGCTGCTGCAGCTGCCCAGTGTAATTCAGGGCATCCTGTTGGGCGCCACTGACACCCCTGCCTCACTTGTGCCATCCATATCATGTCTGCCCAGTCTCTAGCAGCCTCAGACCAGCTTTATGGGCACACACTGCCTTGGGCTGATTTTAGTTTCTCTCCAACCTGCTGTTGCTCAGTTCATGCTCTGGATGTGGTCTGCCTCCACCTGGCCTAGGCTCTGGGGGGATCACTCCCTTGCCAGAGAATTCAGTGCTCAAGACCTCAACTAGTTTAAGAGTGGGAGCAGGAGAACAATCATGATCTAGCACCGGCCTAGCTCTCTGGCCTCATCTTCTCAAACTATGTCACATGTACTTACAGCTGTAGCCATTTTCTTTTTTGTAGATGAGCCATCCTGCCTCCTGTTGGCAGCTGTTGGCAGCTCAGCTTGTGCCGGGAATCAAATTGGTACCCTGTCCCTCAGAGCTCTCACTCTTGAGTGAGCTCTTAACCATCTGAGCCACTCAGCCGGCCCTGTAGCCATTCTTAATGACCTCTCTTGCACCTTTGCACATAACACCACCTCCTCCGGGAAGCCCTTCTGGAATACCTGCCCTCTCACCCCAGGCTTCAAGGTGCCCAGTCACCCTGTGCATACTTGTACATCACCCTATGATACAAGAATGTACCATGGAGACTGGAAGTGGACTGGCAAGAGGGGAAGCCCCATGGGAACCTGGAAAGACATATGGGGGACAAAATACAGAGCCAGAGAGGGAGAAGATAACTGACTACAAGAGGAAGGAAACAGCATCCTCTTCAGATTGAACAAGTGTCTGGCATTTTGTGATTCACACCCAACACAACAGTCGAGGGGACAGCGGAGCTGAGGAAGCAAGGTAAAAAATAATCCCATGGAGATCCCTCCAGGACTGCAATACGAGCAATGTGAGACCTCCGATGGCAGGGCTCCCTCTCCCTCATCAGGTAACATCCTACCTCCCTCCTGTAGCCTCCTCCCCATAGCCTACAAGTTTCCAGCCCTGACCCCGCCCAAACCTTGTCTTCTATCCCCTCTTTGCTTTACTTCCTATGCTCCAACCACAGGGACCTTCTTTCAGTTTCTTCTTCCTGATTCCCTCTTCCATCACAACCTCCGTACACGCTGTTTCCTCTACCCATGTTGCATCTTTCCAGGTTCTTTGCTGGCTTTTCCTTGTGCTTTAGGTCTCAATTAATCTGTGCCTTCCTAGCAGAAAAGCTTTCTCAGACCATCCTAGCTTCAACACCCCCTGCCTAACCTCTTTCCATCAGAACACCCTGTTTCCTTCTTTTCTGGGCTTATCACAAATAGAGGCAGCAGATACAGTACAGGCTCTGGGCTCTGACTGTCTGGGATCTAGTCCCTGTTAGGCCACTGCCTGGCTGGATGATTGTTGGCAAGCTACGTAACCTCCCTCTGCCTCAGTTTCTCACCTGTAGAACAGAGACAATAATAGTACCTCCCCATAGGGATGGTGTGGCTATACATAAAGCATGAGAACTGTGCATGCAGGTTCTCAGCACACGGTAAATGCTAATGTTTATCACTATAGTGTTATTGCTACCGTGTTTATTCATTGGCGCACTGTGTGCTCACTGAGTGCAGGCAGGCAGGGCCCAGGTCATCCTGTTCAATGTGTATATGGTCGCTAACTACAACTGGCTTACATGAGGCTATTTGCAAACTCATGGCTGCTTTGGGAAAAGATCTCTGGGGAGCAAAGGGAGCACCCAAATGCTGCCATGCAAGGCCAAACTGGTGGTGGTGGCAGAAGACAACTTCATTGAACAGCGTTTATCCCTGGCAGGTCCCATCCACACCAGGGCACGCCTTCCTCAGAGACCTTCTATCTCCATGAATAGCAAAGGCACCGCATATCCCTCTCCTGACCAGGTCTTCAGACAACATGGGTTTCTGTGCCAGGCTTGGTCTAACAGACTTGATGCTGTGGCTCCAAACTAAAGCCCGTGGAGACCTACCCCTGGGATGTTCACAGCTAGCTCATCAGCTTCTCACTGGCTCCTAGCCAGTCACACCTGCAGAAAGTAACCAGCATGCCTAGTGTGTTAGGGTTTTCTCTGGGCTGTGGACCCTGAAAAAAACCCTGGCTGGGGCAGCAGAAGCCCAGCACAGCGTAGCTCTTACCTGCCGGCCTGGCTCTCCAGTTCCAGGAGCTGCTTGGGTCTTCTGGGGCTGCTCTGCCATTCTGGGGTGCTGGGGTCTGCAGGCTGCTGGGTGGGTGCCGCCGGATCCCCCTGGCCACCTCTGGGGGCTCCAGGCCTGTCCTGCCAGGTCTCTCCCAGCTTGGTGACCGCATTCTTCTCAAAACCAGCCAAGGCACTGAGGAAGAATGAGTGCCCTTATGGAGCGGGTGTTGTGGGACTAGTCCTTGCTCACCCACTGCACGCTGATGTCATCTCCTGTGGACACAGCGGGCTCCTCTCCTGGAGGGCGGGGCAGAGAGGAGCCCAGCACCGCCCCCACTTCGGGGAGCAGTCCTCCTCAGGAGGACCCCAGCACCGCTACTCCCTTCCACCGACAAAAGCCGCATCCCCAAGTACACCTGATGACTTCAATGAGGTTTTAAAAGACTTTGTCTTTTCCTATCTGGGAGCAGTGGCATTCCTATCCCTCTCTTCCCACTGCTATCCTCCTTTCTCCAAGCCTTCCCCATCCCAGTCCATCTGTCCTACCTACAAGGTCCCAAGCCATCTTGTATTCTTCCCAAGCCCGGGTGCTCAGCCCAAGTGCTCAGATCATGTATGCGGCCTGGACCAGCAGGGGCTCCGCTGTCTGGGAAGGAGCTTCTCCTCCAGGATGCCCTGGAGGGCTGGGTCGGAGCGACGGAGAGAGAACAGGACTGTCACGCTTGCTAGATTCTCAAAAGGGCTGGTAACCCCACAATGAGGAAAAAGGGCCATAAAAACCCGAAAGGTTCCCAAAAGGTTCCGGAAAGGTCCTGAGAGATAGAACCAGATCCATTTGTGATCCTCGTATGCCACCTGGCGGCCGGAGCGGGCAAAGCCACAGAATAAGCCCAGCCGAGGCCTATGTCGCCATTTTCTTTATTGACGGTCGCATTTCCCGGCAGGCACCGCGGTCGGAGCTCAACGCTGCAGGAAATGGTGGCACGCACAGCCGGACACACGCCATCCCCCCTTTCCAGGCGCGTAGGAGGCCGGCGCACACGCGCTCGGGTATTGCTGTGCTCGCTTTGTTTTCACATCTAGAACTTGTCTTCCTTATTGCGAAGTAGTCACCTGCTATTATTACGAGGCAATAGCATTTTCATCCCTTTTTTACAGATGAAAAAGGGGGTTAGGATTCCCTTGCAGCTCACAAATGGAAGTCAGGATGGAACTTCACCCCCTCCCTGTGGCTCAATCAGATCACATACGTGCCTCTACACTTAATCACCTCTGTCTGGGGATAGCAGCAGGAGCGAAGACTCATCACGTAAACATCCATGTTTAAAACAAAAAGGCGTTTCTCAATATTAGCCCCCCTCCCCAGCTGCTTCTGTTCCCTCCAACAGCTAAACTTCTTGAAAGACCTGTCTGCACTCAGTCTTGTTACTTCTTCATTCTCTTCTCCCTGTCAACTTTCCACGGAAGCTACTATTGCTTCCCAATATCCCAAACTATCTGGGCTTAAGGACCTCCCTTCCCCCAGGTGTCTATACCAATATTTGTTATCCTTTAGGCCCTTGCCCCCAGTGGGGGTTCTCCAGGATTTCAGGGATCCCCCCGCTCCCAAAGCAACCATCTGAGGCTGAAAAACCTAATTGGAAACGCTATGGATATTTTATCCAGGTAGATGAGCTTTGGAAACACTCTGACTGATGTTTGGTTTCTTCTTGGTCCCTCAACCAAAATTTAATCTATTGTCTCCATAAGATTACATATCAGGGTAAAAAAATTCTTAAAAGCCTCCTCTACAAATATTAGTAGGAAGCTTTAGCCTTCTTATTGAGCAAGTAACTTCAGCTTGTCCCATCTGCCAGAAACACAATTCTGATAAAATATAAAGTGAGTCAAAGACAAGAGTCAACTCTTATATGAACCAGTGAATTTTGTATTTTTGTGTTCATACCTGACTCATGCCTGGAAATTTAGAATTAAAACCATAAGATCTCTATTCATTTCTATCTGTATATATATATATATATATATATATATATATATATATATGTTATACAGTTGTAATATTTTCTTACCTCTTGGTAGCATTACCAAGTTCACTTACAAAATCCCTCATCCTTTGTTCCAATTGACTTAGAGATAAATAAGCACTTATATAAATTAAATATTCCCCAAACTCGCATAAATTAAAGAAACAGCGTCTAATACTTTTAATGTAAAAAAGAAAAAGTATTCGTATAAAAACTAACCCAAATGTTTTAAAAATTCAAGCTCAATGAATTTAGGTAAATCTTTGCCAAGCAAGGCTAATTTAATGTTGTTAGTTTAATACAAATAAAAGCTATGTCTTGTGAGTTATAAACATTACATCTAACACAAGCAATATTTTTATTTTATTTGGGTATATTCTTCCTAAACGTCAAACAGGTTTACTAGTCAAACAAGCTAGTATTACATCTACTAAATGTTTAAGATTATAAAAATATAAGTTTGCTTTTAACTAAACTGAGTCATTCTGAAAATTTTATTTCAACAGTAATTATGTTTTATAATATGTCAGCTTTAAGACACTTTCCAAGGTCTTTGGTAATTTAAAACCTTAGACTTATGCTAAACTTAATTAATAGATATTCATTAAATACCTAGATCATTTCTAAGTAATATAAAATAATGAAACATTAGTTACTAAGCCTAATGTTAAGTTTACATACTTTCTGCTTATTTTTTTTTGTAGAACAGAGAGGTTGTATTTGGATCTGTTAATAAATGTGTTCATTTGTCCACACTGAAAAAATATACTATAAAAATGTATATAAGTATGAAATTTAATGGGATATATTCAAAAGCTTTACCGGTCTGCTAGAAAATGCTGTATATGACAGTTCAAAATGATATAACTCCTAGTTTTCTCTGTCAAATAGAAGTTACTGATAGTTAACAATTATAATCAATATGTATAAATGAGACTACTAAAAGTAATAATGGCAAAGGGGAACAACTTTGTATGCAAGATATGCAAATATGTTTTTGTTAAGGAAAAGGAGAATAGCTTTGTCCTAAATTAACTAGTGGTTCCAAAAAAATATGTTAAGTCAAAATGTAAACAGATATTTTAAAGATTATAAGAGGTTTGCAGAAAAGAAATTTTATTTGTCATGGTCAAATTTAATGAGAATGTAAGATTGTCACAAAAGAGCTCTAGTATCAAATATTACACTGATGCATAACTAAAATTTGGCTTTTTCTCTGTTAAAATAACAAGACTTTCTTGGATTGTTGGTCTGTTCTTAATAAAAGGTTATAAATGCTCTTTATTTCCCTCTGAGTAATCTGTCTAAAAGGCAAAGCTTTTATGTCTTATCTAACAAATGCTTCATGTTGACTTCATCATGTCTTCAGTTATTTTTAATGGGCTTTTTAATTTTAAAGGAGTTAAGAGTCTTTACAATCGTGTTACCTCCTATGCTTACTTTAATTTTTTGTCACTTTGATTCAATAGATAATCAAGTATTACTTCTCACTATCCCATAATCTTATTTAATCAAATGTCCAAACCTTCTGATAACAGTTGACATTTTGCATTCCCCAAACTAAATGTGAAATATCTTTTACATCTAACACTCACAGTAGGATTTTCCAGGGGACCCAAGGGATTTATTTGTTCTGTCGCCTTGTAACAAGAGAACTGCTGGAAATAATTAAGTTCATTTAATACTGTATAAATTGAATGGGAAGCATTATCCAGTCCTCCCCCCAAATAATGCTGAGTCTTTCCTAAATTAAATTTTAATGGGTACAATGTTAATTATGTAAATATTTCCAAAATTATATAAAATTCTTAGAGATTTGTCAGTGTGTTCCCGGCCCATGATATGTTTGTGTTTCTCAGCATCCTGGTGCTGCCTTGCCTGATATTAGACAACAGCAGCACAGTGTTATTAGTCATAATTTCTATTATTTTTTAAATGCTAACTTAGTCACAATTTTATTTTTTTCCATTTAAATCCAATGTATTCTAGACCAGTGGTTTTCACTTGGAAATTCACATCGCTTACCTATGGAATTTTGTTAATACACAGATGTTTAGGACCTTTTGTTCACTGGCAATTGGATTTCATTCATTTCCTAAATCTCATGGTTTTAAATATGTTCTTACTATGTGCCTGGCCTCTCACTGGCTTGAAGCTTTCCCTTTTAAACGGGCCACTGCCACCACTGTTGCTAAACTTTTGTTAGAACAACAAATATTCCCACATGGGGAATTCTGGCTCCTTCGAGTGACTGTGAAATCCATTTCACCAGTTAAGAAATACAACAAGTTTTTTCTCTGCCCCACAAATGACATTGTCTTTATCATCCTCAGTCATCTGAAATGATAGAGCTAGTGGACTATAAAAATTAAAGCTTGCCAAACTGATGGAAGAACTCAATCTTTCACGTGCTAAGGTTTTTTACCCTTGCACTGATTGCCCTCTGATTTTCTCCAGCTGGATTACATCAACCATCCCCAGGTGAAATAATAACTGGCCCACCCATGAAAATTTCCTATTCTGTCTGGGCTCTTGAGGATTCTCACCTGGTCAATTCAGACATTCTAAAATAATTACAAGGATTTTTCCTATCCTCCATCCATGCTCCCTAACAATTCTGCTGTTCTCATGGCCTACATCCCTGCAGTCCTCTCTCGGCCTCACTCTGTGCTTCCTGGCATCCCAGGCTAGTCAAGCCTCGTCCACTAGGAGGGTGTACCTATTGGTTTTCCTCCTGGCACGTGCCCAGACTGGGGCTGAGGGACTATTAGCAGTAAGTGGTCCTTAATCCCCTGGCACACAGACTCCAAATGCCACTCCCTGATGAATCTAGTCTACTGAGATGACATGCCAGTGACTGGAGAACCCAGCCGGCTTTGGAAAGAGAACTTGTCCATGGCCACACCCTAGCATGCTCCAGGACTTGGATTACTAAAAGGAAGAGAGTAAGTGTGCTTGAAAGGTGCTGCTGCCCACCTCAGAAACACAGCAGTATGCCAGAGTGATTTACCCAGCCTGTCCTAGGTCGAGTCTCCACTTGGAAGCCAGAGCCTTGGGTCAGAGGTCCCTATCTGCCAACCTGTTTGAACATGCTGCCTTGGCTTGGACTGGACTTGGCTTGGACTGCCATGGACTGGACACTTGTTCGGTTAGCTCCAGGAAGTGCAGTGGCAGCTGGGAGATACCTGAGCCAAGAGGGGTCACACACTCCACCCAGCCACTCAAGCCAGGTATGTGGCTTTCTGATATGACACTTCCCTCTCCCTCACTGCTCCCCCAAGTCTTATCAGTCACCCAATTCTGGGCCCACTATAGTTACTTAACAGTTCCCTCTGTTTCCATCTACACAGCTGCTATCGTAGTTAGGGCCCCATCATCTCTTACCTAGAGGACTGGAACCGCTTCCTAGCTCTTTTCCCTGCTTCCACTCTACCCAGTTCCAGTCCATTTTCACTGCTGCCACAGAGATAACGAAAGCACAAATCTGACCATATCATTCCCCTGCTTAAAACTTTTCTGGCTCTGTACGTGGAAATATAAAATGGTGCAGGCACTGTCGAAAACAGTATGATGGTTCCTGAAAAAGCTTAAACATACAATTACTATATGTTACAGCAGTTCCACTTCTGGGTATATACCCAAAATGATTGAGCGCAGGATCTCAAAGAGATACTTGTACGCCCATGTGTATTGTAGTATTAACAATAGCCAAAAGGTGGAAGGAACCCACGTGAGCACTGACAGTGAATGGATAAAGAAAATGTAGAATGTTCATATTATGGAATATTATATAGCCATAGAAAGGAAGGAAATTCTGACACACATTACAACATGGATAACCCTAGAAAACATTATGCTAAGTGAAAGATGCCCGTCACAAAAAGACAAGTACTGTATGAATCCACTTACAGGAGGTCTCTAGAATAGTCAAATTCGAAGAGACAGAAAACAGAATAGTGGGTACCAGGATCTGGGGGGAGGGGCAGGATGGAGAGTTAGTGTTTAAAGGGGCAGAGTCCAATTTTGCAAGATGGAATGAGCTCTGGAGATGGATGGTGAGGATGAAAGCACAACAATGTGACTGTATTGGGTTGCCAGAAAAATCATGACACATTTTTGCAACGAAAAACTTAGAAAAATACATCATGACTTTTCCAACAACCCAATGCTTAATGCCACTGAACTGAACATCTAAAATAGCTAAGATGGTAATTTTTATGTTATGGATATTTTACAATTTAAAAAGACACCTCACTGGCTCCTCTTTATCCTCTGGAGAAAGTCCAAGTACTCGTTATGGCATAAGGATCTGACCTTGCCCATCTGTCTGTGACCATGTGGTTTTTATCCTTTATTAGATTGATAAAGTGTGTTGGTGCCCCTAAGACCACCCCCAGAGTCAGTGATTCTCTAGGAAGACTCTCAGGACTCAGCATATAGTTGTCCTCGTGGCTAAGATTTATTACCACAAAAGGATACCAAACAAAATCAGCAAGATGAAAAGGTGGCATTTTTAGTCACAGCCCCGGGTTTCAACTGGGGGCTGCCCATATAGGCATTTTCTGCTTGGCACCTACCAAAATTCCAGACTCCCAGAAGGCAATCAGAGATTCAGCATAAAGCACATTGTTTGTACAAGCAATCTAGGCCATTAGCCTTATGTTATCATTTAGGAAAAGGTTCATATCAGTGTAATAAACTGTCTACACGTCCAAGTTCCCAGAGGCCAGCCAAGGACTCTCCCTGCAAGCAGGCCTTTCTAAGGAGAGCAGTCTGAGACCTGCTAGGCTAACTCTTGTCTGCACATCATCTGCCCAACATCAACTCCTCCACTGCCTTCTCACCATAAACTGCAGCCATATCAAACTACAGGGTACTTCCTAAACATGCTACAGTGCTACCTGTTGACCCTCTAAGCACAGGAGATTCTCCTTGTGCTTGGACCCCTCCTTCGCCTCCTTGCAAATTTATTCAAGAGGGACATCTAACACCTCTGTGAAGCCTTCCTTGATTAGATGAGGCCAGCCAAGTCACATGATCCTTGTAGTATGCTGCCATAATACCTTCTCCATACCCACAGCACTTCCCACTGTCTAGGACTGTGACCTCCTTGAGGGTAGGGAACAAGTCTTATTTGTTTGTATCCCCTGGTGTTTAGCACATGGTTTGGCAGGAACTAGTAACTGAATAAAATTTGGGTTAATTATGGAATGTGTGATTCATTAATTCACAGAACAAAGGAAGGTGCCCACATTATTCTGCTCATTCCTTCCTCCGCCTTCCAACCTACATCTACACTCAGCCTTCCCTCCTGTCTCAGAGACAGAGCCCTCTCCTTCCTGCCCAAGGATCTAGAAACTACTACCACCAGCCCTCACCATGACATTCAACTTCAGGTTTGTTCACTGTCTTCAAACAGCAAACTCACCTTACCTGGCGGGTATTTCCTCCGCTGGGCACGTAAGCACATATACTAGGATGCCCTCCCCTTCATCCTCCAGCTATTTATCCGTTTACCCCTCCCACATCCATCGCTTCATGGCCAACATTTTAGAAAGAGTTGTGCACCTCCACCAACTGCAGCTTACAGACCATTCCCTCCTCCATGTACCACAATCCAACCATGGCCTTCCTGTTCCCCCAACCTGCCCCCCTCAAGGCAGCCATAAGCTCTAAGTTGCCAAATCTGGTGAGCCTATCTCAGGGTCCACAGCACACAAGCAAGTTCACTCAGCTCGGCTTGGTTTCCATGACTATACTCTTCTCAGTTTCTTCCATTTATCCAGAATTTTGTTTCTCAGTACCCCTCCTCAGCTCCTCTTCCTCTAGAAGACTCTTCCGTCTTATTTTCCAGAATTCTGACCCATGTGCCTTTGTCTCTCATTTCTTGCCTTTCTTCATTGTATATACTCAGTTAGTTTGGAGGGCCAGTAATTAATAACCTCCATTTTTTTTCTTTTTGAGACAAATGAAAAGCAGAAAATGGAGATAAATGTTGGTTGGTGAAGCGGATGGCTTTACATGTAGAGGTGAAAAGGAAGGTTCCCCTTGCATTCCTGAACCACACAGACTGACCCATTCACGGGCGTGCTAGATGGCTGGCTCCAGCTGCTTGTGGAGAGCAGCAGACAATTCAAGGGGAACTTTCCGGGCTGTACATCTATATGACCTTATAATATCGCTGGACAGCATCCCCACAACATCCTCGCTGGCCCTTAGCTAGTTCCTGTCATAGTTTGGGGCCCACCCCATCCACCCAGTTGCCCAACCCTGAAATCTCGGGAGCAGCCTTGGCTACCACTTTCCTTCACCTTTACCCTTAATAGGGCAGCAAGACTGTGGCCTCTTCACGTCTCCCCCTGACTGAGCAGGAAGTCTGCTAACTGGTCTCCTGCCTCATCTTGGGGTATAACCCCTGGCCTGATCCTACACATGCAGCTGGAAGGAATCTTCCTACAAATCTTGTATGTCATCTCATTCTCCTGAGTGAAAGCTGTCAGTGGCCCCTGGGCCATCAGAAGTTGAGTCACACTCCTCAGCTGAGGAGCAGGTGCCTGCCCAGCCCCCTCTCAGCATTTCTCACCAAGCCACCAATTAACCCTTCCTTCACTATATCCACTCTGGCTCTGTATTTCCTTTGAAGCATATCCATCTGGCAAAACCATCCAGCTCAAACCTCATCCCACCTGTAAAGAAAGCCGCTCCAACCAAAAAGAAACCCAACTGCTTCCGCTTTCATGTATGGGTTGCACTTTTTGCTAAACGGAACACTCAGTGGTGTAGGAAGCCATGTGATGTGACAGAAAGTCCAAAGTTGTTCACTATCTTTGGTCTGGGCCCTTACAGGGCCTGGGGACCAAGAATGGGCAAAGGAGTCAGGAACTTGGATGTTTTGTTTTTTGAAGTTTTTATTGGAGAACGGTGTGTTTTTCCAGGACCTATCAGTTCCAAGTCAAGTAGTTGTTTCAATCTAGATGGGGAAGGCGCAGCTCAGTGGCCCACGTGGGGATTGAACCGGCAACCTTGGTGTTAAGAGCACTGCACTCTAACCACCTGAGCTAACTAGCCGCCCCAACTTGGATATTCTTAAATAAGAAAACCTGTTATCTTACAGCTGATCCTGGCCTGAAAAATGGCCTCTTATCTAACTAACTACAGAACCTCTATGGTATAAGAGCCCCAGTACCATGAAGGCGGATTAACATTTGTATTTTATCCTTGCAAGAGGACAGGTACCATCTCCTGTCTTCTGGGGTGGCGAGAGTCTTAGCTCCCCCTTCCTAGCATTTCTGTATTGTGTGAGAAACCATTTGCTTGCATCTGTAGAAGTGGTAAGTGCTTTAATTCGCTCCCTCTGAAATCTCTGAGCAATACAAGCCCACTGTGTCTTAATAATCTATCAACATGTCAACACGCCCGTCAGTGTGTGTAGGGGCCAGCAGGCCAGATGCTGTCAGGGGAGCCTTGACTTGAATACCACAGCACATACTCCATGGTCACCTCTAGTCACAGTCACATTTGCCCTCTCACTCATGCACACTGACACACCAACACATCAGCCATCACAATCCCACTGCCAGCCCCAATGCCACTGTCACCCTCTCTAGTGCCTGCTCGCTCACGCTCTCTTTCTTTCACTCTGACCTTCTCTCTCTCTGCTTCACCTTGTTGCTTTCTCTCACTCACCCCCCGCCATTATCTGGCAGTGCCATTTTATACACACGAAGAGCCGTCACACCCCCTGGGACTCCCAACCTGCAATGCGTGAATACTGTGGGAGACCATCTTCCTTCACCACACTTCAGGAATTATCCGGGGCTTCTTACTCTGGCGACAGACACCTGTTTCCATCACAGGCCTCATCCCAGATCCTTGCACCACAGAAAACTCCTCAACACTGCTCCATGCCCAGGAAGTCCCCATTCTAACCCCACACGGGATAGGAGACTGAGCACCTGGGTGTGTGACACATGTGTCAGGAAATGGCATGGACATGGGGCAAAAGCAGGCCCCACTTGGGTCACGGCCCGACAAAATTCCAGCTTGGGCAGGCAGAAGCCCAGCACAGCGTAGCTCTTACCTGCCGGCCTGGCTCTCCAGTTCCAGGAGCTGCTTGGGTCTTCTGGGGCTGCTCTGCCATTCTGGGGTGCTGGGGTCTGCAGGCTGCTGGGTGGGTGCCGCCGGATCCCCCTGGCCACCTCTGGGGGCTCCAGGCCTGTCCTGCCAGGTCTCTCCCAGCTTGGTGACCGCATTCTTCTCAAAACCAGCCAAGGCACTGAGGAAGAATGAGTGCCCTTATGGAGCGGGTGTTGTGGGACTAGTCCTTGCTCACCCACTGCACGCTGATGTCATCTCCTGTGGACACAGCGGGCTCCTCTCCTGGAGGGCGGGGCAGAGAGGAGCCCAGCACCACCCCCACTTCGGGGAGCAGTCCGCCTCAGGAGGACCCCAGCACCGCTACTCCTTTCCACCGACAAAAGGAAAGGGGAACAACTTTGTATGCAAGATATGCAAATATGTTTTTGTTAAGGAAAAAAGAGAATAGGTTTGCCCTAAATTCAAATAACCAGTGGTTCCAAAAAATATGTAAACGGATATTTAAAAAATTGTAAAAGGTTTGCAGAAATGCTACTTATCATGGTTAAAATTGACTACAATTTAATGAGAATACAAGATTTTCTCATAAGAGCTCTAGCATCAAATATTATACTGATGCATAACTAAAATTTGGCTTCCTTTTTTGTTGAAATAACAAAACTGTCCTGAGTCGTTGGTCTGTTCTTAATAAAACGTTATAAATGGTCTTTATTTCCTTCTGAGTAATCTGTCTAGAAGGCAAAGCTTTTATGTCTTATCAAACAAAGCTCATCCCCACATGTACTAGATGGAGCCTCAGCCTTTGATGCTTTTGCCACCCCGAATCCAGCAACGAGGGAGTGGCTTCCTTTGGGAGGTCTTCCCTCCTCCCTGGCCCCACATCACACCTACACTTGCACACCCCTCCCATCACCATCCCCATCCTGAGGTGCTTCCACGGGCCTTGTTCTCTCTGCTGGTGCCTCCTCCAGAGCCTCTATCCTGTATGACGGTGCTGCTGCTTGGTGGCCTCAGGCACCAAAAATGTCATATGACCACTAGGCCAGAGGGAAAGACTGAGTCAAGAGCTTGAGCCTGGCATTCCAAAAAATTAAACTCTAGTTCACCATCCTGGCTCAAACCTCCCAACATCAGCAGCCTGCCTTCAATCAATGGTGGGGCTACCTAAGAACAAGACCACACCACCAGGTACGTCCAGCCCTGGGACTCTTTATTTATGGAAGTTAATCCTGTAGTAGGCAGGCTCCTTGCCTTCAAGCTGGGAGAACACGGGAGTAGTTGTAAGGATCTCGGCCCGGACCCTAGGTGGAACAGACTCGGCTGGACAGACTCAGTTTTAAAAATCATACTTCAGCTACTCCAGCTAGACTCTAAGCAGAACTTCCCGTTAGGACAGTAAACGCCTAGCTTTACAAGAAATGGGTTGCAAGAGAAATATTAAAAATGTTTTACAGAAGTAGTCTTGTCACAACTGGATTGGACCATTTCACAAAAAACTAACAGCTCTTTTTGCTTCTGTACACCTGCTTTGCTTCTGCTGGGGAATAAAAGGTTAAAGACCAACATTCCTCAGTTCCCCCTTCCTCCCCCTTCCTCAGGCCTTGAAGTTCCCCCTTCCTCTCCCCACCTTCATGTTAACATTTCAGGAGGCCTTAAAGCAAGCTAACTTTAGTTTTTCACACACCCCCCCACAAAGAACATAAAGGTCTTCCCGCCCACCCCCATCACCCTTCCTCACCCTACTCTTAGGAACCAAGCCCAGCCCCAAGGAGCCCCAAAGCTCAGAGCAGGCAGGTCCGTGTGTGCGCGCGTTGGGATGGGGGTCCTTCTGGGTGGATGGTCCGGCTGCCCTGCCCACGTGTCCACAGTTCCTGCCCTCAGACAGCTCTGAAGACCAGTGTCCAGGGACGACCGACATCAGGGCACCCGACCAAACGGGATTGGGCCACAGGAGCCCCTTTTGGCTCCTTGCGGGCAACCAACTCCCTTCCTCTCTCCTGCCTCCGCCCAGACCATGGTTATGCTCCACACGTGGTCAGTGGGGCCTGCTTCAACCCAAGGCCAGTGAGACACCTGGTCCAGCAGACCAGCGGGGGAAGGGCAGCAGGAACCCAGGGTGGCCTCAAAAGTGTTATCGGTCCATCTGTGATCCTCGCGCGCCATCTGGCGGCCAATGCAAGCACGGCCACAAGAGAAGCGCTGCCGAGGGCTCGCTCGACCGGAGCAGCCATTTCGTTTTGTGGACGGTCGCATTTCCCGACAGGTACCGCGACACAAACTCAAGGCTGTAGGAAATGGCGGCCCGCGCAGGCGCGTACACACGCCAGGTGCTCACGCCGGGCGGAGGCGCATGCGCTCACACGTACGTAGTACGCACAGGCGCACACGCAAGCACCCTGTATGCGCAGGCGCATTCGCACGCGCCCGGCGCAGGCGCAGACACACACACGGTCCCGGGACACGTACGAGGAGGCGCACCTAGGAAGATGTCACTCTGGACTAGGTGCAAATGCGCCTGCGCTTGCTGCCCAGCCCCCAGGAAGACTGGTGGGGGGTTCTCTTTGAATCCACCCCTTTTTCCCCAGTCCAGAATCTTCTGGCTTCCCACAGAGATCGTGAAAGCTCTAGAACCGAGTTTGTCAACCTCGGCACTACTGACATTTTGTGTTGGGTAACTCTGATGGGGGCTGCCCTGTACATTCTTTTTAGGACGTTGGGCAGCATCCTGTGGTCTCCACCCAATATTTGCCAATAGCACCCTCCTCCCAGCTGTGAGAACCAATAGTGTCTCCAGACATTGCCAAGTGAGCCGGAAGGGAGGGGCGGCAGATGCTCCTGGTTCAGAACCAGTACTGTACAACAATGGTTCTGAGCCTAGGCTGGACAGGAGAATGAACTGGGAGCTTTTAAAAAGACATTAATGGTGCTTGCTTCGGCAGCACATATACTAAAAAGACACTAATGGTAGAGCCCCACCGCAGAACAATTAAATTTAATCTCTGCATGGAGCTCAGGAAGCTTTTTTATTTTAAAAAACTCTTTCCAGGTGTTTCTCAAGTGCAGCCAGAATTGTGAAACACTGTGTTCAAGAAAGTTTGTATTGATTTTGGAAACTTTTACACATCAGATCCAAAGCCTGGGCTCTAGAGTTAGCCGGATCTGGGCTGTATTCCTAGCTCTGCTCCTCACAGGAGCCCTCTTTATTTATTCCACTGTTAACATTGCATCAGAAGCCAGATTCTTACCCAGGTTTGGGGAATATTAGGCGAGATCATGCACACAGCATGCGTTACACGTTAACCAGCTGGGAGTTACTGGTTCTGGGTCTTAAAAATAGGCTCCAAAGAACAGATTTCATAAGTTAGCTTTTTAAAGTTTTTCCTGAGGGTTTTCTTAAAACCTCCTCCTGCATTGGGATTCAGCTCTGCCACTTGTATGCCCTTGGATAAGTCACTTAAACTTTCTTTGCCTCAGTTTCCCCATCTTATTCATTTCACAGGGCTGCTGGGAAGATTGTAAAGCAACTAGCAGAGCACACTATAGGTGTCCATTATTGTTTTCACTCTATTAATTGTCAGTGCAATTTGAAACAAAATCTCACATAACAGGGCCTCATACCTTAGAGATCTGTTGTCTCCACCCCCACCCCCCAGCATCTCAGCTCCAGTGGAGGTCACAAATGTAAAGAAGTAACTTCAGTGTGGTATGAAAATGCAAAAATGCACTACCCTTTTAAACACCTAAATAAGACCATGTTTCTGGTTGGCTTAAAACTTGAAATAAGCTCCAACCTCCTTATTGTGTCATTGGCATGCCTTAACCAAGGCCCTGCACCATCTATGGTCCCCCTCACTGACTAGGCTCCAGCCACTCTATGCTTTGGAACATGCTGAGGGTATTCCCACTGCAGGGTTTTTAGGCTTGCAGTTTCCTATCTGCAGCTCTTTCCTTCTCCTCCTGAGCTCACCTTAGTCACTTCCTTCCACTCATCTAAGTAGTAGCCCTCCTCACTGCCCTCACTCTTATCTCAGTATCCTGGCTATTTCTTTCAGAGCGCTGTTCTTCCCAGGAGGCACAGAGACCTGCATTCCTGGTTTTTGTTCTTCATTCTAATTAGGCGCAAGCCTTCCAGGATTGTGGGGAGGACTGTATGAGATGCTGTGAGCAGAGGGCTGTGCACACTGTAGGTTCCCCAAAGTTAAGTAGCTATTGTCATCTTTAAGAATATCTGGTATTAAAGGCCAGTCAGCCATGCCTCCCTTGACGAACCTCCTGTTCCACTATTCCCCCACAAGGACCCTCAGCGCCAGCCACACACAGCTACATACAGTATCCAGGAAATTCCAGATTGTTTAGAGTCCTTTGTACATCCTGTTCCCTTTGCTTGGAGGACTCCTATTCACCTTTCAAGATTCAACTCAAAAGCTACTTCCCCCATGAAGCCATCATGCATGCCCCCCTTCCCCTGCTCCAGTATACGTTATTGTTCCTCTGGGCTGGGCTTTGCACCCATCCTGCCCCTTACATAAGCCATGTCTGATTTGTCTGTGTGCTCCAGCCTCCAGCACAGGGCAGGTGCTTGTCCAAGTGGTTGGTGACTGAAAGAGTGGGTGACTTCTTGATTATGGAGAACTTCCTGGCTGGAGGCAAGAAGGTGCAGTGGAAGGCTTTATGGACCCAGAGGCAGAGGCCAGAGGGTTCCGGCTGGGGCTTCGGCCCTTGCCATGTGCCATGGGCCAGCTCACATGCCTCACTGGCCTCGCCTTTCCAGCCAAAGGCAAATGCACACCTCAGCTGCCTCTCTGCACCACAGAAGCTCAGCACTGTTTGCTGATGCCTTACCCCTTCAAGTTTGCCGTCATGTCCTCCAGGTCTGCTGGGCTGTCACTTTTCTTGTCAGCTGGGACAACAGAGCCCAAAGTAGTACTGGAGCTGAGGGAGGAAGCACACAGGCCTGCTGAGGTCTCAGACCAAAGGAGACTGGGGGCCCTGTTCTTCCCCTTCCCAGCTGCCTTCTCACAGGAAAGGGGGGGCCTATGTCTGTCAGTAAAGGCTGGCCTCTCAGTCCTGCCATTGGTGTGGCATAGGCATCACTGTGTGTGATAACATCTCGTGAGCCCTGGCTGTGGCCTTAACACCTGAGTTCAAGACAAAGCGCCGCCCTTGACCAGCTAGGGATCTCTGAGGAAGCCTCCTGATTTTGGATATCAGTGTTCTTGCCTGACCTACACGTCTTGGGATCCCAGAAAGATGGTCCCTTACTAAATGGTCCACACACCCACAGCAAGGTGGCCACTCCCACTGGTGGATTGGTAGATGAAATAGGGCAGAAGCCTGCAGCCTGGGAATGCACAACCTCTTCCCATTGCACCTTCATGCCCTTGGAGCCATGTGCCCTCTCCAGCTGCCTCCACATGTTCCCTGGAGTTCTTCCCCGACTCCAAATTTCTGGGCCAGGCTGCCGTCCCTACAGGAGAGGTTCACTGAGACTTCCTAGCAGGGTTCTTCCCAAGCTTTGCCTCCTGATGTCCCTCTGCCACCTTAGCTTGGGCCCTTGTGGGTAGGTGCTGGGCTGTCAGGATCCCACAGACTTATCATCTGTCCCCCTCCCACACTGTCCCCAGTGGGTGTGTCCAGCTGCAGGTCGGGGCCCCTCCCAACCTTCCCTATCCTGTGGTGATCACCTGATAGGAAGGTGGCATGGCGCCGAGATGTGTGAGGGGGATTCTGGGACAGTGGAGCTGAGGCTGGACCCTGAAGGCTGTGTCTGGCAATGGGAATAGTCACCAGACAGTCACCCCACTCTTACCTGGTGGCCTCCGGTCCAGGTTTGCGAGGCTGAGAGTTGGCACTGTGCACACCCTGATCATCCAGGAGATGGGCGGGGGCGGCAGCGGAGCACACCCTGTAGAACGAGGCCAAGCCCAGGCTGTGTTTAGGATTTCGTGTTTGTATGTCTGCTCCCTCCTGACAGGTGATGGGGACTGAGGAGATGCTTGAATGGATTCTCAGGGCATAATACTCATATCTCACAGCTGCCTGACACCAGGGCAGTGTGGCCTAGTGGTTAGGTCTATGCTCCCTGGAGGCACATTGCCCAGGTTCAAATCACCACTTTGCTACCTCTCAGCTATGTGACCTTGGACATATCACCTGACCTCCTTGGGCCTCAGTTTTATCACTAGTGAAATGGGGATATCTATGTCTGCCTCATAAGTTTTTTGAGAAGGGTAAATGAGTTAATAGATGACAAGTACTTAGAATAATGTCTGGGCCCTAACATGGGCTAAAGTGTTCCGTTATTATTACTGGGCCCTGTGGCCGTTTGCCGTCTAGCTCTATCCATAAACTTTATACAGAATGAGTGGGTGCTCTTAGCCTGCCTTCCTAGAGGTAAGTCACATTCTCCATCTCTCAGGCAGACTGACACTCACAGCACGCCGAGCAGTCACAGCTCACAGGGCACCTTGTCAGCTGTGAAAGCCTGCATCCTTCATTACGTAGCACACTCACAGAACAGTCCCTAGTGTTTGGCTCCAAACACGTTTACACCAGTTGTACTTGCAACCGTAATCACTAAATTCAATTATTAAGTAAACTCATGAAAATTAGTGGAAAAGGCAAGTGGTTGTTTCTTCCATGAGAAACAACCTTTTCTTTGGGAAGACGGGGAAAGGCAAGTTTCGTTACAAATTGTTATCAAAATAAGTATAAGTAAGGGGGGGGGGCCGGCCGAGTGGCTCAGTTGGTTAAGAGCGTGAACTCTGAGCAACAGGGCTGCCGGTTCTATTCCCACACGGGCCAGTGAGCTGCACCCCAGCTGAGCTGCCGCTGAGCTGCCAACAGGTGGCAGGATGGCTCAGCTGGTGAGAGCATGTGCTCCTAACAACAAGGTTGCCGGTTTGACTCCCGCATGGGATGGTGGCTACGCCCACCCGCAACTAAGATTGAACACGGCACCTTGAGCTGAGCAGCCCTGAGCTGCCGACGGGCGGTCCGATGGCAACTGGACTTGGAGCTGAGCTAGCGGCGCCCTCCACAGCTGAGATTGAAGGACAACAGCTTGGCTGTTTCCCTTCCCCAATTCCCCATCACTGTTCCCCTTCCCCTATTCCCCAATAAAATCTTTAAAAAAAAAATCAGTATACGCAAGTCAACATAAAAGACTGGGTTAAAAATCATAGAAATCTAGAATATTCTTCAGCTTATTTTGCAAGTTAACTTGAGGTCCAAACACACTGGACCAGAAGTCTCCACGACAGCCACCAGCCAACCGAGCTGGTCTGCACGACTCGCTGTCCAGCACACAGTGATGCAGGCTGCAGGTGTTGGCTCCCTCACAGTTCTGCCCACAAGTGGCAGTTCAGAGAACTGAGGGCCCCAGCTCAGTGACATTTCTGGGCACCTGCTGAGGCCCAGTGATTACAGGCTGGGGCCTGCTGTCCCCTTCCCATGTTGACTTGGGCTCCTGGATTTTGAAGTCTGAACTGTTGATCCAGGCATTGGTTGCAAAGTAGTCTAGTTAGTGAGGGCAGGGGGCTCCCAGTGGGCTTGAAGAAGCAGGGGCAGCAGGAGGGCCAGTAGGGAAAGCAGTTGGGAGGGGCTCCCCTTTGGGGTGCCCTCCCCGGCCAGACTGCCCTAGGGCAGGGTGCTGGCCGGCAGCATGCAGTCAGGCTCTCTGCAGACACTGGCTTTGCCATTCCTCTCTGTCCATCTGTTCTGAACCATAAGGGTTCTAGCACAGCTCAGAGCTGAACTATCTGTCCCAACATCTGCATACCAGGGATGACTCATACTGGTTTGGAACCACGTGGGGATAGGTGGGGCCTTGCTACTCCCCAAATCACCTGAGAAAGTGGTCTCTGTCGCCACCCAGGTCTAAGAACTGAGAGCCCAGCTAGACATGCTTGTCTCACTAGGGATGTTGCTTTTCCTCTCACTGAGGCTCAGAGCAGAGCCGGCTAGGGGAGGAGGATGGGGTGGGAAAAGAAGGCTTTGGGGCTTCTGGAAGGGATGGTAGAAAGCAGGGATGAAGGACCTCCTTCTAGCTGGTTCTCAGAGCTCAGCCAAGAAGCAAGAAGGCACTAATTCGTCCTCCATTTGGTCATTCATTTGTTAGTTTGTCCCTTCACTCATTCCCCACATGCACAAGGAGGAGTAAGATTCAAGCATAGGTAATTCCCAGAAGTGGAGAGCCCAGGGACAAAGGACATTGTTAGGGGTGGGAGTACCAGAGATGGGAAAAACAGTAAGGAAATGACCAGCGTCAGTGCAGCCCAAGCAGTTTTGGCAACTTGACTCTGGCCTGTCACCAGGGGCATAAGAGAGTCAACAACTTGGGGCCACCTGCCTCCCCTGGGCCGCTCACCCTCCTCTCCCAGAGCTGATGTCTACTCCAGCCAAGCCTTCAGATGGGGAGCCCATGGCTCTGGATACCACGTTGCCATCCCTTGACTGTGTACTTGACATGTTAAGGCAAGAGAAGCATTTGGTGACTCAGATTGGGTTTTAATCTAATTCAGATGCCCTGGGAGTGGGCCTCAAGGACCAGAAGCCCAGGCCCTCGGCTGCCATCCCACTCTGCTCCAACTGGAACCAAGCCAATATCAGCAAGTATTTCTGCTTTTATTCCAAACCTGGGAGCAAGAGTGGAGCCAAGAAAGAGAGCAAGGTGGCAACTCAGGAGGAGCCCGGCACGATGATGGGCTGGTGGCCAACACAACAAGGGGCAGACATTTGGGGCCACTAATAAACCATAGAGCCCAGAGCAGAGAGAAAGCTTCCCAAGACATCCTGGGTCCCCTTCCCTCATTCCCAGGGCTGAGTCCCAACTAGGGTTGTGGGGCTCCACACTGAGAAAATGGTGGGCTCTTATCCACTACCGGCTGTGCTGCCTGTTAAGGCAATGCCCACCTCTCAGCCACTGCTCACCACACCCAGGCTCTCCTGGTCAGTGGGATGGTCGTAAGATGGCTGGGCACAACCACCCCCTCTGGACTCATCATTCCTCACCATGTCTCCACCTCCCATCCTTATTCCCCATCCCCATGTCTGCCTTTGTCCACAGGTAATTGTGGAAGTCCCTGCTAAATGCTATGCTAGGGCCCAGGCATCCTTTGGTCACTGACTCCCCCAGTGTGATGGCTTGGCGGCCTTACTTGCCCTGGCCACTGGCGGGGATGCTTTCAATGGAGTAAAAGCACAGTGAGGTTGGGCCAAGGGCTGGGGTAGGGATGGCCTGGAGTTTCATCTTCCTGGAGTTTCAACTGGTTCCCTGAGAGATCGTGGCAGGGGTCTGCCCCTGGCCAGGCCTCACACATTCCTTCATTCATTTGTCCAACAGATATTCACTGAGGGCACACGGAATGAGACAGTCCTGGTCTCAGCTCCATCCGTGGATCTTGGACTGGGGGCCACGTGGGCTCTATGTCCCTGCACTGAATTACCTTTCAGAGTCTGGGTTGGGGTCCTTGAAGGCCTCCTCACCAGCCAAGTCTCTTTTGGGCTCTCTGGGACTGGGGACTTCCTTGTCTTTGGAGTCCAGGGAAGACCTATGGAGGAAAGAAACGTAAGTTAACTAGAGCAGCAACCCACACCTATGTGGAGGCAGCTACCTCATCCCCAAATGCCAGCTATCTCCAAAGAGCTTAAAACCTGGCATTACAGGATTGGCCATTTCTCAAAATCTCATAACTACTGTTGATTGAGGGCAAGACCCTGTTCTCATGACTCTGCATGCATTAACTCTCCACACCAACCCTGGGACAGGGGCACTGCTATTACCTATGCCCACTTTCCAGATGAGCAAAATGAGGCACAGAGAGCCCTGGTGACTTACCCCAAGGTCCACAGTTAACAAGGGGAAGAGCTCGGATTTGAACCCAAGCGTTCTGACTTCAGAGTTCTGGACTATAATCCTCTGTGGTGTAAGACTGAGCCTAACTAACCTCCTAATTAACCTCCCTCTGTTCTCTCTGAGGTCATCAGGGAGCCCCACGGTGTCAAACCTAACAGAGATACTCCTATCATTATTGCCATTCAGAAGCACTGATTCAGTGGGATAGTCCTGCCTTCTCTCCCCCTTGTCCGTCCATATGACTCTGTGACACTACCTCCTACCTCCTTTGCCACACCTTCCCAGTCCTTTGCCTTTTTCTCTCCTGCCCTTTAAATGCTGGTGTTCCCAGTATTCCTCTCCATCTGCATGCTCCGTCACCTTGGCCACCTCCCGTGCTCCCATTGCATCAACTGTCCCCCTCAAGCCACTGACCTCCGCTTGTTCCCACCTCTCCTCTGTGCTCCTGACCCAAACCCCCACTGCTTCACAGACTGGCCCTCTAGCAGCTACATTCAACGTGGCCAGACCTGACTATGCCCCTAGCTGCCCTCGGAGGGGGGATGACGAGACAGCTGCCTCCTCCACACTGGGGTCTGTGTCCAACTTGCTGGCTCCTCTCTCCTTGATTCCCTTGACATTGTACTCCATGTAAACATTGACATTGAGCCCCGTTATTTCAGCTCTCATCTGTCTGCATATAACATGGAAATCTCTTGAGCCCTGACCTGTTCCCCAAACCTCAACCACAAACTCTCAAATGCTTCCTGGTAATATGCATTTGGATGCCTACAAATAGTCTCATCATATATTCATGCAAAAAATATTAAGTATATCACCCCTCCCTGCCCCCTTGCCCTGCTAGGTCCCCACTAATATAATGAGTTACGGAGGAAAAGGTGCAGGGTGGGAGTCAGGCAGCCTGGGTGGAGGTCCTGGATCTGCCTGCTCTCGGCTGTGTGGCCCTTCAGAGCCTGTTTCCTCACCTGCAAAATGGACATAGTGACTGCACCTACATCTGCATGGGGACACCTGCTAGGCTGTTTGGGGCAGGGCAGGGCTTGGAGAATTCTAGCTTTCCCCCTTTCTCTCTAAGTCGATTATCCCACTGGAAAGAGGGAGAGGGGTGCCCCAGGGGTTCTCAATGGGCTGTTGTAGCTTTGCCACTCCCACACCAAGCATCAGAAGCCTCATGGCTTCCTCCTGCACGTCTCGGGGGTCACTTGGCCCATTTCTCAGAGAGTGGTCACCTTAGAAGAACCAATGAAGCAGCTTACAGTGTTGCCTTATTAAAGATATCACACTGGATGATTCTCAACCATTCCAGTAACAAACCCTCCTGCACTCCTGTTCCGGGTCACGCCCTGTGCTGGGACCCAAAGGAAGTGTCTGCCCTCCAGGCACTCAGGGCTTTGGGGGCAGACCGATCCATGAGTGGATAGCTGTGTGGAAAATTCTCTGGTGGAGGTAGGAACACAGCACTGTGTGAGCTCAGCAAGAAAAGCCCCTCACAGACGCTACCTCAGAAAGAAATGCAGGGGACGGGGGTGCCTAAGAGGGGAGACATCTGAGGTGGAACTGAAAAATGGAGAGGGGGAAGGGCACCCCAGGAAGAGCCTACAGCCTGCACAGATGAATGGGGGACACACGGAGGACCGGGAGGCTAGAGTGGAGGACCCAGGGAGTGGGGGGTATGGGAGAGGAGCCAGGGAAGGGGGTTAGGTGGGGGAAGGGCTCAGCAAGGTATTGAGTTCAGGCTGCAGAGCTTAAACAGGAGCTCCAATGCGGGTTTTCCCCAGTGGGCTGCCAAGACTACTACTGCCTTTTAAAAATGTCACCTAGGCAGAGATGTGGAGGAGGGTCTGGGTACAGGGCCCGAGAAGATGATTGCAGACAGCTGGGTGAGTGAGGGTGGAGGCCTGGACCCAGGGGAAGGCAGTAGGGGCAGAAATATCTCTAAAACAGAATGGACAGGACTCAGTGCCCGAATGGGACGGGGCTGTAGAGAGGGAGGAGCCGAGGAGAGTAAAGGGACCTAAAGGTCTGTCAAGACTCATCTTGAATGTCAGTTCCTCCCTGACCACCCCCGCCCCCATGCTGGTGAGAGGCCCCTGCTTGGAGCTCCCACTGCCCCAGGGATTATCTTGGGCACATGCTCTGGTCTCTCCCCAGGGCCCTTGTCTGGCTACTTCACTGCTGCTTCCCAGGCCCTGGTACGGGGGTCAGGTGTGCAGCAGGGCCTCAGTCGATGCTACCTGAGCGAATAAGTAAATGAGCAGGAGACGGAGTGCTGCCCCTCCAGGGAGAAGTAACTTCTCCCTGATCAGATCTCCTCTTGCCCAGCTCCAGCCCCCCAAACCTGCTTACCTGTTACCTGGCCTTCTGCCTATTCCCCTGACTCAGGGGTGTGGCCTGCTATGCTCCCTGCTCGTTGTGGCCCTCTTGCTCCTCACCCTCACCAGCACCAGGCATGGTGGCATCATGAGCTGTCAAGGCTGACCCAGTGACCCCATCCCAGTCTTGGTGGCTCCCCTCACACAGGCAGGGCAACTGTTCCAATGATGTCATGGGGCTCCACCGACCCTGTGTCCCCACCCAGCACAGCTGGCCAGCCATCGGCAGGGCTGAGCCCTCACAGCTGGCTTGTGTCTGCGTCTGCCTCCCCCACCAGGCGGATAGTCAGCAACTTTGGCCAGGGGTGGTTGCCACCGGGTCCCCAGGGCTGGGCCTGGCCTCCCACAGAGCAAGTGCTCCCTCCCCAATAATTGTGGACTTAAAGAGATGGGGGCAGAGAACCCAGGTCGACCATGTCTCCCGCCAACCAGCCCCCAGGCATCATCATTTGCCTGCTGGCCCTGCTGACCCCATGTCTAGAATGGTATGGAAGGAACCCAGAGAGCAGCAGGACCCCTGTACCTCATTCCTTCCAGGTCTGGGGCCATCAGGCGGAGTCCCGCCCCGGGTGTCATGATCTGCAGGCGAACAATCTCCTCACCTCTTGTGCTGTGGCCAAAGGAGAGAGCCAGAGAGCTGCTGGTCAGAAAAGTCTCCCATCTCTTCTGGGTGTCCAAGAGCGTTCTCCCTCAGGAGCCTCCTTGCTAGTGCAGAGAGACCTCAGACCCATTGCCTTTTCCTCCTCTTGTCTCGTCTTTGGCCTTGAGTCCTCTTGGTGCTACAGCTAAACTTGGGCCATTGACCTCCAGGCCCCAGAGGAAGGAGAGTGAAGGGGCCCTTCACCAGTCTCACACCCTCAAGCTCAGACCTCTCCGGGCACACACAGCAAGGGGCCCTCTGGGCGGAAATGAAAGCCCCTTGTGTGTAGCTGCCTCCGGGAGCCCTGCCGATGGCCCCAGTGGAGCATCCAAAGTGGCTATTTGTGAGGCTGGAGGGAATTCTGAGTCCATGGGCTGATCTGGATTGATGACAAACAAGATGCCCAGGAAAGTTATAGACCAAATTTGGAGTGAGAGCCAGTGGGAGAGGGATGGCAGAGTCTGGGCTTCTGAAGGCAAGGGACCAGGTGCCCATTAGCCCACAGAGGATCACAGATTCTCACCACTCAGAGGATGCTTTGAGGGCTCCTGTGTTCAGGGCCTGGCCCGCAGGTGACTGCACACACCCGTCCAAGAATTGGTGTTATTTTTTTTTGGCCCCACTGCAGGGCCTGACACCCAGCAGGCTCAGGCTGTGGTGATGGCCAGGGCTAGGGAGAATCTAGGCTCCATAGCTTTATGGGGTTAACCCTTCGCCCCAAACCACACCTCTCCAGGTCCACAGAGTGAGGCCTAACCCATCCTTTAAGACCCAGCCCAGGTCACATTACAGCCACCCACTCCTTCCTTCATTTGCACTTGGGCGCTGGTCTGGGCACCTGGCTGAAGACGGGGCTGAGCCCGGCCTGCCCTGGTGAAGCCCCCAGCCCAGCTGGAGGGAGATGGGGAAGGGGGAGGTGGAGACTGGCAGGTGTTTTAAATGCTGAGACCAGACATGGTGTAGCAAAGGGAAGCCATGGGATGGGCTTGAAGTGAGGGGTGAGGGGCTTGACATGATCAGACTGGCAATTTCGAAAGGCCACTCCAGGGTCTCAGGGGCAGGAGGGATCGGAGGATCCAGAGTGAAGGTAGGGAGGTGGGTGAGCCTGGGTGTTGACCCTGGCACCTAGCTTCAACCTCGGCTCGGGGCCCATGGAGGGCCAGGTCAGTGAAATGCTCATCTCTGTCCCTGCTGGGGACACTGGAGATGATGAGAGTGAATTGGCAGGGTTGCCAGGGACAGAGCCTCTCTGTACATGAAAGCCAGGAGGGGCCCCGGGCCACACGGGCAGCTCTGATCTCCACGTGTCTTCTCCCATGACAATGACGATGACAGCATAGAGCTCCTGGGTGCTGGCCCTACCTGCCCCACCTAAAGCATGTGATGCCAGGAAGCAAGGACATGCTCCACTTGGGGATATCACCGGCAAGTAAAACATACTTTCTCACTGGAGTTTCTTGTTATGTCAGAGAGGAAATAAGAACAGTGTTGCCTCAGCCTGCCTAAGCTGGCGTCTCTCCTCAACACCTCCTCCTTCATCATTCCCCTGAGCAATTGCTTCTTAAAGTCACAGGTCAAATGGGAGGTCTTCCAGAAGGGCTCTTACGGGTTGCATTGTTCCCCCCCCCAACCCAAAAAGATATGTTGACGTGCTCACCCTTGGTATCTGTGAATGTGACCTGATTTGGAAATAGGGTCATCACAGATGTAATTAATGAAGATAAGGTCATGCTGGAGTAGGGTGTGTCCTAAACAATATGACTGGTGTCCTTAAAAGGGGGGACATTTGGACACAGGAACACTGGGAAGACAGCCACGTGAAGGCAGAGGCAGATATTGGAGTAATGCATCTATAAGCTAGGAAGCACCAAGGACTGCTGACACTAGCAGAATCCAAGAGAAAATTCTAGAGTAGATGCTCCCTCCCCCAGAGCCTTCAGAGGGAGCACACAGGTCTGCCAACACCTTGTATTAGGACTTCTGACCTCCACAGGCTGTGAGCATAAGTCTCTGTTGTTTAATCCACCCAGTTTCTGGTACCTTGTTGTGGCAGCCCCAGCAAATTCATACAGGAGCCTTCCAGCCTCTCCTCCCCTGAAGCCCCCCCCCACCAGCCCCACCACTTCTCCAGACCTTCGACCCCAGATGGCTCTAGTCCAATTGAAGTTCTCAACTAGACTGAGCTGCTGAAGGCCAGGAACATTCATTCAGTGCAGCCCCTGCTGCCCGTGGGAACACGACTGACAGCGGCCTGTGCCAAAGAATGTGCAACTCGCCAGCTAAACGAGGGTGAGAGGCAGGGGAGTGGGGAGGGAGTACAGGTTTCGCCTGCTATCCAAAAGTAGGGCGTTCCTATGAAATCGTTCGTAAGCCAAAACGGCGTAAAGTGAAGAAGCCATGAGCTGAACACTATTTTCGCTTGTTTTTGTAAAAATGAAAATCTCTGGACTTCTTTTGGTTAGCAGAAACATATACTAATGTAGGTCTTTCAGCTCGTAAAAGCAAAGTGGCAGAAGGCAAACTTCGGAAAAACTGGATACCTGTACCTCCTCCTCTGGAGCCCACAGACGCACTTCCCTCAGAGGCCAGAAGGTGGTGATATTGGTGTCTTTAGTTTTTTGAAGAAGGGCCCTGCAAATCTCCGCAAGTCTCTAACGGGGAGCACCTGACAATACCAGGCACCCAGGTACCACGCAAAGGACTTGACAAGCATTACCCTATTTAGTATGTGGGACAGCCTTGGGCAGCAGTTATCACTGCTCCCTATTTAACACATGAAGAGACTGAAGCACAGAGAGGTAAAGCAACTTGCTCAAGGTCACACAGCCAGTGCAGAGCAACACTAGGGTTTTGCCTCGTGCTGGAAGCTGTGCTTTTACTCACTGCTCCCCAGCTACTCTACCAGGCAGCATGCTGGGGCATAGACTACAGGCCCTCCCCTGGCTGGGTGAGGCAGAAAGCCAAGGAAGCTGGACCAGTGGTGTGAGGGGGCAGCAGCCAGGCCTGGGGGCACTCACACCGGCCAGCTTCTCTGGGAGAGGGCATCCAAGTGAGCTCAGTTCAGAAGGTGGGCAGGGGTTATCCCACAGCAAGAGGGCGAAGAGCTAGATGAAAAAGCCAGGCCCTGGGTGCATGGAGGGAGGGGCCCTTCCATGGGTGAGCCGTTGGGAGTGGTGATGGTGGAGACAAGTAGTCAGATGTCGACAGTTGGAGCTGAGGGGACTTTGAGACGCCCAGGCAGGTCTGGAGTCTGGAGCAATATTGAAGTTCCAATGGAAGGAAAGAGACAGCTGGAGAGCCCTGAGGACACAGCCTGTGGTACTCTGGGTGGCGATTCCTGTCCCAGACATTCAGCCCTCCTTAAAGTCCATAAAGGGTTTGGCAACTAGGACGGGCACCCCTAGTTGGCCTGCTGCATAAGATGAGGAGCTGACCTTCAGGCCTTAGGGAAGGGGGATGGGATAGGGGCAGGCTTAGGGAGGGGGCAGCCTCAGCAGAGCCATGCCTGGGGACAAGGCTGTGATCTAAACCAGCCATAAACCCGCTTCTTCTGAGGTACCGTGGGACCCAGGGTTTTGAGTCACTGCTCCCCATGGGGCTGGGATCATTCAAGGGTATAGCCAGGGCTGGACTTCTCACATAGCCAGGTGGACAGGAGCTGGGCATGGGGGACTGATGATGGCTGCCTGGTCCAGCGCAGGGCCTGATGGGGTCAAATCAGAGAGGAAGGCTGCCCAGGGCTGGCCAAAAGCTCGCCTGCAAGCTGCCTGGTGGGTTCCAGATATTTTGAGATTGCCGAATCGGAGGGAAGCAGCACTATGCAAACGATCGTGCCTGCCTGACCAGCTCTCCTTCCCGGAGGAGGCTGCCTCATGGTGAGACAACTCTGGTGTCTGGTACATTCCATAATTTGGTTCCAGTTCTGTTTCCTGGGGCCTCACAGGCAAGTTTGATCTGAGACATCCAGACTCCCGAAATGGGAGACAATATACTTCTGTTGTTTGAGCCACCAGTTGGGGTGCTTTTATGGCAGCTCCAGGCAGACTGGGACAGCCATCTTGCTATGACAGCCAGGTGATGAGTATTAAACATTCAAAGGAATTTTCTGGAATAAATGACAAAATGCCTCTCAAATCCATAATCCAGTACAACCTAACTTTCTTATATTCTGTTTAAAAAAAACAAAAAAACAAAAAAAACCCATCTGAAACTATTGATTGCTTTTTAAAAAAAAAAAGAGAAAAAAAGAAAAATCAGAGATATGCACTGTTCAGGGCTGAATTGTGTCCCTTTCAAAATGTGTATGTTGACGCCCTAAACCCCAGGACTCAGAATGTGCTTGTATGTGGAGACAGGGTCTTTAAAAGATGATTAAGATAAAATGAGGTTATTGAGGTGGGCTCTCATCCAACTGACTGCTATCCTTATAAAAGAGGAGATCAGGACACAGATATGCACAGAGGGACGACCATGTGAGGACACAGGGAGAAGACGACCATCGACAAGCCAAGGAGAGAGCCTTCAGAAGGAGCCAACCCTGCCAACATCTGGATCTCGGACTTCCAGCTGCCAGAACTGGGAGACAATACATTTCCATTGTTTGAGACACCCAGTTTCTGGGACTTTGTTACAGCAACTCTAGCAAACTAAGACAGCCTCCATCTCCCATCAGTCACCAAGTCCCATCGATGCTACTTTGTGAAGAGGTCTCAAACCTTTCCACTTGTTCAAGTTTTTACGGACAAAAGTTCAAACCAACAGGGGAGATGAAAAGAAGGACTGAGTGAAGAGGAGGGGCCTTCCGGCAGAGGGGCCCCTGCCGCCGCCTCCCCAGCCCCTTTCAGCCCCAGCCCAGCAGCCTGCTGCAGGCTCGCTCTCCACCACCAGTCTGTGCCCCAGGAGGTGGTCTGTCGTCCTCCTGGCACAGAGGAAGGGGCCCTGAGGACTGTCACATACAAATGGTTGTGGGGGCTTGCAGTGACATTACGGGAGCTGGAACGGCCCCTGGGTCCCTTAAAAGTGGCCTGCAAGGAGAGGTGCTCTGCCCCCTCTGTCCTCGGGGTCTTCCAAGGGTGTCACAGAGGCACAGCTTTTAGTAGACCTGGATTTGGGCAAAGCTCCCAATCCAGGCAGATGCTTTAAACAGCAGTGACAACAGGGCGGTGGCACACTCAGCAGGACCTAGCACGATTCAGCACAAAGTACAAGGAGGTATTGATTGCTTTTCGTCCACAGAGAAGAGAGCACCATTATCTGCCCGGACACTCGGAGCTCAGAAATCAGGGCAAATCAAGGCCCCGCCTGTAGTGATATCAGCAGTGCTCAGCCTGTCCCTGCCCTGTCACCCCACTGCCAGACCCTCCCATCTGACCGGCTCACAGGCCAGAGCCAGCTCGAGGCACCCACCTGGGCTCCCGGCTCCCGGCAGGGCTCGGCAGACTCGGCATGCACTCAATCCAAATCGCCCGAGACACTTTGGCTCGGCCTCCATCCGCACTGGCAAAGAAGGCATCTGTGAGCGGTGCTGGGGACTGCGGAGCCTCCTTCCCCAGCAGGAGGGGGAGGACAGCGTTGGCAGGTAGAACTTGGCCAACTTCTAGGAGAGCCGTGAACAAGCCTGAGAATGGCAGGGCTGGCACCCCGGCGGCGGACCCTCTCCAACCCCGTGACACAGATAACCACTAAACAGACAAGAGTGCAGTGCTCTCTCCCTGGAGGCCAGGCTGCTTTGCTCCTTCCAGCCCTAGGACATCCAGCCAGATAGGCCCTTGCTGATTTCTGTGCCTCATCCTATCACTGGGCACGTGGGGACACCGACCCTGAGGCTTTGCAGGGAGGTGACCTGGTTGAGGTGCCACGGTGGCTGAGTAGCAGGCAGCCTGGCAGCCACCAGCCCCAGGCAGAGATGAGTGACTGATTACCTGTTACAGCCAGGAGGGGATCTTGCCAGAGCAGGTGGGTCCTGGCTCTTCTCAGAAGACCCGTCCTCATCCACCACCTCCACCCTTTAGGCAAGAAGAGAAACAGATGCACCACCTTTTCCCCCAGGGCCCCCGTGACCTGCTTGGCTGCCCCTGAAGGACATGCTTTCTTTCAGTGGAGTCTATGGTGGCCATGAGGTGGCCCAGGCTGGCGGCTCAGTCACCCAACTTTGGGATAAGGACAGCATACTGGGTGGAATAGCGTCCTTCCCAAATTCATGGCCCCCTGGAACGTGTGGATGTGACCTTATTTGGAAATACGGTCTCTGCAGGTGTAATCAAGGCTAATGAGGTCAGGCTGGCATAGAGTGTGCCCTAATCCAATGGCTACTGTCCTTACAAGACGAGGGACATTTGGACACAGACACACAGAGAAAAGGAGGTCAGGTAAGGGCGGAGGCAGGGACTGCAGTGATGCATCCACAAGCCAAGGACACCAAGTGTTGCCTGCAGTCCCCTGAAGGTAGGAAAGGGGCCTGGAATGGCTCCTCCCTCAGAGCCTCCACAAGGAACCCACCCTGCTAATACCTTGATCTTGGACTTCTAACCTCCAGGGCTGGGAGACAACACATTTCTAGTGTTTATGCCACACGGTTTGTGGTACTTTGCTATGGAAACCCCAGGAACCTAATACAGCCAGTAAGAGCACACCATTATCTGTCAATTCCTTCAGGCTGCCACCACCGTCTGCTGGCTGCTTTCCAGTCAGCCTTTCTGGTCTTCCAACACAGCAGGCTACTCCCACCTCCGGGTCTTTGCACCGGCTGGAACACTTGGCATGCTGGCTTCCTTGTTTTTCAGTCCTTAGCTCGTCATGAAGGCCTTCCCTGTCTACCCAATGGAATATCCCTAAAATTCAACTTCCCGGAAGTTACTTCCGTGCCCTTCCCAAATATTCTCCTCTCCCAGAAGCTGTCCTTTTCACCTAATGGTGGCAGCCCTCTCTCACTCAGCTGGAGTGTCCTCATGTCCCGATCATTCCCTGTTGAATCCTGTTCACCCTGTAGGGCCCATTTCCAATGTCATGGTCACTTCAAGGGCCTGGCCAATGACAAGCCTCTGGACCCCAGCCCAGTGATTGCTCCTGCAAGGGCATTGTCCAGCCTGCCCCTGGTAGGATGGGAGGGAGGGCAAGGGAATAACTCCTGGGTACTTCAAAATCTCAGAGGCTCTTGGAAATACTATGGCTTCATCTTGGGTCAGGGGCCCAGTCCTGTTATCTGCTGGCAAATGGAAGCTTCCAGCAATAAGCTGTGTTCTCCCAGCCAGGCTCCTACCTACACAGAACTGGCTGCTGGGACCATAAGTGCCACCACAGCCACCCAGGTGCTTGCCTGGCTTCTAGACAGAAGCCATCAGCTCCTCACAAGTAGCCCTGCTCAGGGACAGCAGTTCCACCCCATCCCATGACCCTTTCCCCAGTGTCCACACTACACTGCTGCCGATAGGAGGTCTCCATGGCTAGCGACAGGCTTCTAAGGCTTTCCTTGCTGACACTTACCTCTTTGCTATAAACGGGGCCTGTGTCTCCTGAGCGGGGCTGCTGGAAAGGAAGCAGAAAGGTGATGCGTTGGGCAGAATCCATGGACTAGACAGGTGATGTCATGAGCACTCTGCCCCACAGGGCTCTGGGTCTCTCTCCCTTCCTGGCACCTTTCCTGCCCTGATGGCAGCAGCCAGACCCCTCAGTTTTCCAGAAAGTGCATCTGAGAATCCCAGAAGGTCTGGCTAGGAGGGCCCAGTCACTCCACCCTTCAGCAGGCAGAGGAAGACCGGAGCCCTGAGGGGAACTGGTTCAGAGCATGGAGCCTGCTGGTGGCTGAGCTGTGTCTCCCACTGTGCAACTCACCTGGCGCTCTTCTTGGCTGCTGACAGGACGTAGGAGCGCTCCCGGGGAGCCGTCTTCCTCACCACACTGCTTGCAGCTTCTGACCTGTGGTGGCACAGGGGAGGGGCATCTGATGGGCAGGATGGCTCAGGGCACCCCAGTGAGGCGGTGGGGCAGGGGGAAGCCAGTGTAGCAACCGCTCCGAGGACCATTCACAGGAAAGTAGAGACCGAGGGAAGGGTAGCTCATGTTTCTCAAGCACTGCATGCTGCCAATCCATGTTGGCTCACTGAGTCCTTCCAACCCAGGAAGGCAGGTGCTAGTATCACCCACAATGTACAGATAAGGAAACTGAGGCATGGGGAGCTGTAGTGACTGGCCCAAGATCAAACACCTAGCTGGTGGCAGCGTGGGCAGTTGATGCCAGGTGGCCTGGCTTTTCCCCAGCACCTCCCAGGCCTGGCATCCCCTGACACTGTGGACTCTGCCCTGAGGACTGCCCGTCTGCCAGGCCCTCAGCAGGGGGCATTGCTCTGTTTCCTGAGTCACAGTGGAGCCGGCAGATGTTGGCATTGTGCATGTGGGGGGAGAGGCAGGCTGAGCCCCGGGGGAGCTTTGTTTCTTTGGGGCCTAAGTGCTGCCTAAGCACCCAGCCTCACTTTGGGGTGAGGGGTATTGGAACCTCTGGAGCTTGGCCCTCTCCCCCTGTCCCCCAGGCACACAGGCCCTGCCCTGACTCTGCATACACAGCACCCACACAGAGGGCTCTTCTGAGGGGCCCTTGTGCTGCCTATTTTGCTCCAATTTTCTCAGGTTCCTTTTTAACAAACTCATATAAAGTCCTGAAGCATCTCCCCCCTGGCCTCTGCTCGCCCACCGATGAGGCTTTCCCTAACCCTCTTCCCCTAGGTGCATAAGAGGGTCCTCGGAGCTGGACCAGCTACGTGGGTGGCTCTGGGAATCTGAGGATAAAACCTGTTGCTAGCAGCCTCTTCTCCAGCCCACGGGCCAGCACTGATGTCCTACGTGTGCATTTTATCACTCCAACTGGCACAATTCCTATTTCACCATATGCACTGACTTGGGATGCCCAGCAGGCACCATTACCTCCGTTTCTGCTCGTCAGAAGAGAAGGGCACGTCCTCGTCTTCAGCAGTCCCTGACGATGAGCTTCGCCTGACGTTGTAGGGTGCCCTGAGGGACGGGGAGAGGAAAGGGTTGAGGATGCTGGTGATTATGGCTCCTCCTCCCGCTACCTCCACCCCTGCTCCTTGTGGCAGGCTGCCACCCTCAGCAACTTGGCTTCTTGACTTCCAACGACACCAATACATGTTGGCATTGCTGCCTCTGGGCCTTTTGCTCGTGACACTTCTTCCTCCTCGAGAGCCAGCCCTCCTTTCTCTCCCTGTTCCAACCCTAACTGTCCCCTAAGACCCAATTCAAACTGGGGCCCCTTCTCCAGAAAGATGTCCTAGCTGCCACTGGACAATGGTGACAAAGAACAAACAATATAAAAATGTGGGGCACCTGGGAACCGTAGGCACAACCCACACCTCTGTCCAAAGTTCCCTTCCCTGGGCACACAGGCCATGAGGGGAACTCCAGAGGGAACCCCAGAGGGAACCCCAAAGATTTATACCCAAGAAGCGATCAGCTTTAGACACACAGTGCCCACAACTGATACACTTCCAGGGTCAGCAGCACGTTTAGGGGTCATCAGGCCCTAGCCTGACCCTGCCCAGCCCAACCCATGCCGGGAGCCCCAGCCCAGAGGCGCTGGACAGGCATGTCCAGGAAACATGCCAGACAGAAGCAGCCCTAAGGCCATGACCCATGACCCTTTCTCCAGCCCCACCAGCCCCTTCTACAAACTTCCTACAGGTGCTTTGGCTCAGATCAGAAATGCAGTGTGCACGAACATCAAACTTTCTGGGGCTTGTCACCTTCTGGTGGGCTCCAAGCCACAGTATCAACTGGCAGGGATTTCAGGCAGGCAGGAATAGTGCTCCCGGACTGTGCTCAGAGGCAAGTGGCCAGCTGCCTTCAGCAGGCCGGTGTTTGGGCTTGTCCCTTGGTGGAAGGAACTGAGCTGGGGCTGCGATTGCATACTCACAGCTTCTTGTAATCCTCAGTGGTCATCTTGTAGCCAGAGGAGGAGGGGCGGAGAAGCCCAGCGGGAGCTGCTCTCATCAGACCGGCAGTGCTGGAGAGATAAAGAGTTTCCATGTGCCCACCTGCGGGCGCCTCTCGCCTCCAGATTTGCCCACACGGCCCAGTGGGCTCATGGCGGATGGACGAGAGAAGGCTGGTGGCCTTTCCTCTCTGTTCTCAGCCCTGCCGAACACCTGGAACACCTGCAGCACCCTGAGCAGGGCAGCCCTCCTGCCAAGGGCAGACCCCGCCCCTGTGGCTCTGCCTTTCTGACAGAGCCCAGGTTCGGCCTGACACCAAGGTGCTTTGACAGTATGCCTCCTCAGCCTGCCAGCAAGACGGTGGCCTAAAGCACACAGCTCACTGCAGTCAATCAGCAAGTCAAAGCTCCCTGCGAGTCAGGACTGGGCAAGGTCACAGATAGTAGCCCAGGGACTCCACTCCCAGAGACCAGAGTGCTCGAACAGGACCAGGCACCTTCCTGGGAGCTTCCAGTCCCTGTGGTTGCAGCTGCATCGGCCCCACCCCAGCTCTGGTTGCCCCTGTGCTGCACTCCAGGGCCCTAACTTATACAGGAACAGAGCCGCCACCCGCCACCCCCTCAGTGATACGCAGAGTACTCTCTCTGCCATGAGCCTGGCTCAGGCCCTCACAGCGCCCCATGGACATACCTTTTCGGAGCTCCGTTGGCCTTAGGAAAGTGCTGCTGGGGCTGGGACGAGCTGTCTATGGGCTTGGTGAACACTCCTCTAAAAGACAGTCCAAAAGAAACAGCCCAGTGAGCTCCCAGGGAGAAGCCAGGGGGCAGTGTGGGTGGGCACGGGAAGGCAGTCAGGGTCCTACTGTCACCTACCGGATGATATAGCCAGTGGAAGCCCTTGTGCTCGTAGGCCTGTGAAGAAACAAGAACGCATGAAGTGAAGTGAGGCCTTGTGGAGAGCCCTACTTTCTCCATGCCCCTAATGACAGCAAAGCAGTTAGACTGGTGGATATCCCATTGCAGCCAGAACGAGGGGAGCAGGGGTGGCCAGCGGCTTCCCAAGAAAGCCAGCTAACCTGTACCCTAGTCTGGTGCCTACTGTGCTCTGCCTGTTTCTCTCATGATCCCCAGGAAAAGCACCTGTGGCTGATGGTTCTGGGCCCAGCCCAGCGTGGCCCAGGCTCATAGCAGGTGCCCAGGAGGAAACGCATGGTCTATGGCTGGGCATTGGCTGCAGAGGCATCCCCTCCACAGTATGGTTTCTCCCTGGCTTGTCAGGGCCCCAGTGCCCCCCTGAGCGAGAGCTCTTCTGGGACTGCTGACAGCCACCCCACCATCTGCTTGTAGAGCTCACCCAGTTCAGGCTGGGGGCTCCATGGTCAGAGGCCTGGGGCTGAGGCCATGGCAGGCGGAAGCTATGGCTCCTGACCTGATACCCCTTTTCCAGGGAGGCTCATGAGGGCCCAAGGGGCAGAGCCCAAGCATGAGCCAGCCAAGGCCAGCTGACCCTCCCTTCCTGCTCCTCTGGGGTTTCCCCTCCTCCAAACCCTGGGACACCCACATCACAAGTCTTTGTAGAAGTTTGGGACCTGAAGGCATGGCCAGGGCTTGGTCAGTGGCTAGAAAGCATTACGCCCTACGGGCTCAGCACTTCCTGCTTGGAAGCAACCGAGGGGACTCAGAGGACTGGGGCGGGCGGCGCTGGGTTGTGGGAGCCAAGGGCTGACAGTGTGGGCAGCCAGGGCTTAGGGGCAGGACACAAGGACACAACAGAGGAGCTTGGGGCTGGAGAGCAGGAGCAGGCCGACGGGGAACCCAGGCAGGCAGGCAGGAAGGGCAGCACAGAGCTGCCGTGGTTTCCGTCTCCACAGACCTTGTCCTTAATGGGGGAGAGCCTTCCAGAGGTGACCAAGTTGCAGGAACACTTGGGGTGGGACCAGAGAAAGAAAGGTCACTTGTACCCCTTCTAGTCACAATGAGAATTTTTGGCTGAAATACCTGTGTCCTGGGGAGGCTAGCCATGGCCACTGGCCAGCCCGGGACACTCCCCATCCCCGTGGAAAAGAATGAGAGCTGAGGTTTTTGTAGGCTTCCAGGTACCCCTGCTCTGGGCTTGAGTCGCAGAGCCCCAAGACGTGCTTTCCAAATGCACCCCCAAAGCAAAGCTCAAGGTGAGAATTGCACCCTCCCCCCACATAAACAAGTCCTCCCCAGAGCAGACTATCTTTGAACCATCCTCAGGCCCTTGCCAACCCCACCAACCACAATTCTCTCTGTATGTTCATCCCTCTACTTGGGTCATATCCGTGGTCCCTACTAGGATGTCAGCTCCCTGAGGAGAGGGCTGTGTCTTCTGTGCCCAGCACGGGACCTGGCAGGTATTGGACGCTGAGTCATTGAGGGATGACAGGCAAAGCCACAGTTACCAGAGGTAGCCCCTGGGGCTAGCAGTGAACTTGGACCCCTCCATTCCAGCGGCTGCCACTGCCTTACCGCTGCCTGAGAAAGGCTCTGGCACTGCACTCGCTGCTAATTGTTGTCTGTTTGGAGCAAGGATCAAGCCTGAATTTTTGGGTCTCCCATCCCTTTGCTTCTCAGGAGCAGTTCCTGCAGGTCTGGGCAGGATGTGCCCATGCTTCAGAGCCTCCCTGGACACCTCTTTGTGAAAGTCCTCGAAATAGAGAGGGGATGGGGCTGTTCCCCTTGGCCAGCTGTCAAAAAATGTCATCCTGAACTTAGGAGACACTTGGCGCAAATGTGTGCCTCCCCTGGCATAACAATTACCAGGTACGCTAAGCAACCAGGGCCACCGATGGAGGGAGTTGTGTGTGGCTCTAAAAGCACCTCAGAGACGTTGTCTCACTTCCTACAGGGGGTTCTCAATGACAATTTTGATCCCAGTTGACAGGAGGAATCATGGGGGCCCAGGAGGGGAGGCAGCCAGTCCTGAGGTCACACAGCAAGGCCAGGGAACTGGACCCAGTGACTCCTGTGCTCTCCCTTCCCCAAGGGGAAGCAAAGAAGGAAAAAACATCCTTCTTCTGAATTTCAAATGGCTAACTGCAGACCCTGATGTCCCTTCTCCGCTTGGGTTCCCTCCCTCTCCCCTGAGGACTGCAGTATGGGGCCCACCCACCAGCCATCTGGGTACCACGTCTTACCTGGTCTTCGTGACCTCCCCAGCTGAGGAAAAGGATGTGGCACGACTCCGGCCAGAAGGTAGCTCTCTGGGGAAAGAAGGGTCCCAAAAGAGTGGCTCCCAGGCCCCTTACCATCAGTTACCTTGTGGCCTCCGTCCTAGAGGCTGCCTGCTGGGCCCCAAGGCAGCTGAGGGAGGAGCAGTACATGCACCCCAGGAACTTGATCCACCATTCCCATTTCACCTTCTCCTTCCACAGACCACCTCCACATTCCACGGGCACACGCACACCCCGGCACCCAGGGCTTTCCCACCCTGTGACTTTGGTTGAGGCTTGCCCTTAGCTGGATTGCTTTCCACTGCTCCACCCTCGCTAGCTGGCCTGTGGCCATGTTGGCTGGCCGAGCTCTGAATGGTGGAAGCCCCTCAGTATCTCCAGGTGTGGACAGGGCCCGTGAATCACAACCCCAGCGCCACCCTGTTGCTGCTGGCCTTCCTGGCCTCCTGTACTTACAGAGTGTGGCCCTCCGATTCATCCTGCTTGGTGATCCAGCTCTTGTCCCCCTTCAGAGTGGTTCGCACCTTCATCTGCTTGAGGACATTACTGCGTTCCTCCTCGCCCGCTGGGAGAGACTTCCCTGGTGAGGGCAAGACCACACAGCTTTAGAAGGGGAGCCCAGCCCCCAGGACCCTGGGATTCCTTTCCAGCCCTCCCAAGATGCCCCTCTCTCTGCTGCCCAGGTAGTGTTCGTGACCCTGGTAGGGCCAGCATGGAAGAAGGCAGCCACGTGCTGAGCCTGGGACTGGGACAAAAAGGAGCCTGGGCCTCACCTTTGGTGCTGCTTCCAAGAGCTGAGATGCTCATGGCGTGTGCTCTGCAGGTCCCGTCTCAGTTGATTCAAAAAGGCTCCTGGGGCAAAGGTAAGCACATAGCTTTCACTTCATGCATTTATAATGGCTCACGGGTCACCATGCGGTCCCTGGCATACCAAGACCATCCAGACTATCTTTTGGGCATTGGGAAGCAACAGCTGACTGAGACCAGGGGGCCAGCACTCACTGCATTTGCCACTGCCGGGTGGCACACCCACATGTCTGCCCAGGGCTGCTCACCTGGGGAATATGGCATGGGCTGCCAGGGGCTGTCTGTTCGACAGATGGCTGTTAAGGGCAGACCACAAGCCCTCCTAGAGTTCTGATGGCCAGGCTCCAGGTCCAGGAGAGTGTAGGGCAGAGAGTGGCAGCAAGGGAGCCTTCACAGTGCCACACAGACAACAGGCTCCCTGGGGTCTGGCGCTGGTGGACGCAGAAGGAGGGACTGGGGGAAGGTGGAGGGGGCCTGGGGGTTGGACCAGCTCTCTCACTTCTTAGTAGCTGTCTGGCAGACCTTGGGCCAGTCAGCTAACCTCTCCAGGCTGCCTCAATGTTCTCATTTCTAAAACGGGAGTTAAAAAAAAGTCTACCCTTCAAGACTGATGTGATGACAAAGTGCACCAATGTCTTGCAAGTGCCCGGCACCAGCGGGCACAGCCAAGATCACAGGGCAGTTGGATAGGAGCCACGCAGCAGTGGCTCTGAACCTGTCCTCACTGGGAGAGGAGACTGTGGGTGGTCCTCAGTTAGCACAAGCATGGCCTGGGGCTGTGCAGCTCTGTGTGGTTCAGGGGTTGGCTCCAGCTCCAGTGAGGAAAGCCCAGGGTCCCACTGCCAACTCCTAGGGACCAGGCAAGGGTGGGGATCTGGTAAGGGCTTGCCGCTGTGTCTGGAAAGTGGGGGACGTCTTGTGCTCTGTTTTTTCTTCCTCTCTCTGTCTTCTAGCCCTTCTCTGACTCCTTACCTCCTCTCTGCCCTTCTGCCCAGTACTGCCCCCCTGTGGCCAGTGAGGGGTGGGCTGTGGTCATCTGTGAGGCCTTCACAGCTCCATGAAGGCTGTTCGCCCCAGGAAGGGCTGGGGTGAGGAAGCCAGCTCTCGAGGCTGGGACTGGCCCCGGGGCTGCAGGGAGACGCAAGGCCTACATCGTGGGTCTAGTCACAGCCCCGACTTGACACAGCCGGCCTCTTGGGCCTCAAGAGAGGAGCTGGAGGCTTAGGTGGGCAGGTATAATGGGAAGCAGGGGTCCTGGCTCTGCCAGCATAGTCCGGAGGCAGAGCAGCCTCTCTCTTAGGGGCCTGCCACCCTCTGGGCCCTTCCAGGGCCAAGCCCAAGCAGCCAGATCTTGCTGCCAGCTGGCAAGGCCTGGACATGTTACCGTGGAGGTCAGGGGCACACTAAAACGGGCAGGGCAGGAGGCCAAGAGCAAACCAAATTTGCCACATCAGCAAGAGCTGGCTTTCCCATAAACTGCACCAAATGAGCAGCCCAGGAGGCCGGAGCTCACTGTGCGCCAGGAACGGCACCTCATCACCATGAATGGGCACCCTGCGTGCCCAGCCCCTCCACCGAGGCGGCCACGTTGGAATTCTACGGAGCAACGCGCATTCCATAGGTGATCCTCACAGACCCAACTGTCCCATCCCAGCCACCCATGGAGTGGCCCTAGTGGGCGGGGCACACAGACAGAGTCGCCTCCTGAGATCTTGGTCCATTGGTCTCCTAGTGCTGCTGACTGACTGCAAGAGCTTGGGCGAGTCCCTCGCCTCCTCTGGGTCTCAGCTCAGGAATTCCTAATACTCAGTCTTTAGGTTCCTTCAGGAACTCATCAGTCTCCTGTGGACAAACCTGTCGGCCACGTTGCCTAGAGGTTTCCTGCCTAATCAGAACCAAATAAGCCACTTCCAAAATCAGGACAGACTCACACACATGAAGAATGACAGAGGCAGAGGGGCCATTGGGGACTCCAGGGCCAAAGGGGCAGGGACATGCACAACAGCCCTCAGTGAGGATGGGCGGAGCAGGGATGGCACCCATGCTGCCTCAGGCCCCGTCTTTACAGTTAAAGACCAGGAACGATGATTCATCTCAGAAGTCAAATGTCTTTTCTTTTTGATGGGACAATATATTTGAGAGTCCGAATATATTCTTCAGTCCACAGGACTGAAGAGAAAGGAAGCTCTTTGGTGCAAGGGGCTTTTAAAGTGATCAGTGCTGGCCAAACAGATGGGCACACGAGGTTTGAATGGAGGGCCCAGCTGGAGAGCTAGCTTCTCCTTCCACTTCACCACGCCCTCCTCTCCCTTATCCCTCAGCCCTGGTTCAAGGCGCAGTCACTTCTGACTTTGTCCCTGGTCCACCTGCTTTTATCTGTGCCTCCTTCTGGGAGCACTCATCGGCCCCTAATCCCACTTGGCCTCGACTCCCACTCAGCTTCTGCAGGCTCCCCACAACGACTGGGGCAAGCTCCCCCAGCCAGTCCCCTGACCCACCCACTTTTCTCTCCAACCCCCCTTAATGGTGATGCTGTTCCAAACAGATCAGGTGCCTCAGCATCCCCGGAAGGTGGCCCTCCAGCTCCTCCTGCCCCCTTTTCAGGGCCCCGTCTGTCCTGCCTGCCCTTGCTCCTCGGGAACTCTCCCCTCCTCTGACCAGAGTGCATGGTACTGTGGACCCACGTCTTCCCAGACAGGACCTGCCCCCTCCAGCAGCCTCAGTGAGGACAGAGTCCAGGCACCCCTCACACCCCAGCACACAGCCTGCACTGAACACCCCTGCCGCTGGACTGCAGGCTGGCAGGGGCCATGCTTCTGACATATCAAACATCACTACCTCTTCTTGGACCCGGGTCTCCTCTCACACCTGCCATCCCTGCCCCTCTTGGAGAGCAGAGCAAAGTGGCCACGAATCAGGGGACAGCCGGGAAAACCCTCACTGCAAGCAGGGGCAGCTTTGGAGATTGGGGGGGGGGCGGTGCTGAACACTCAGAAGGGCGTTTTCTGGGCAGCTCTCATGCACTGTTGGTGGGCAGTTCAAGAGGGGCATCTTTTTGGAGCACAAATCTCCATGCGCGCTGAAAGCCTTAGAAAGGGCAAGCCGTTGGTTGAGCAGTTCCCATCACCACATTATCTCCTAAGGAGACAGCTGCATAAGGGAACCAAGTATACAAGAAGGGTGTCATCCCACTGTTGAGTGTCACGGTGACAATTTGGCAATAATCTAAATTCCCAGCAGTCCTTTCTAAACGTATAATGATCCATCGTTCAAACACAGACTATGCAGTCATTACAAATGATATTGATATATGTGATACATAACAAGCCTTCATGTGTATGGTTTCCATATATCATTAAGTGAAAGGCAGCTTTTAAAACAAGATGCGTAGGATGGTGCCATTTACTTAAAAATATATTTACATAAAAATGCACGTAGAAAGAAACACCTGAAAGGATACATACCAAAATACTTTGCTCTTCTGTATGTCTAATTTTCCTATCATGAACGGTACTGCCTCTGTGCTGAAGACTAAACAGTGGTCTGAGCAAATGAAACTGGAGCTGGGGCTGCTTGGATAGCTAAGGGTGGGTCTCAAAAGCTGCTACAGGTGAGCAGTGACAAGGAGGGATGCGACGTGAGGTGAGTGAACGGAGGCAGTGACCCTGGGAATTCTCTCCCTCTGGCTGGGTGGACATCCCAGGGCCAGGCGGACAAGAGGACGCCGCCCTGGGCCTGTAGGGCCGAGCTGCCAGCAGCGCCTTGCTGCGGGCACACGAGGCCTCCTCCAGGAGCCTCCGTCCTCTTTGCCCACGAGCCCAGGGTGGAGGGAGAGCAGGTGGTGTGTTGAGGGTCTGATCTCAGAGGGGGAGGTCACAGCAGCAGCTGCCAGCAACACAACGCAGAGGCCCCAGGGAGCAGGAGGCTGGCTTCCCTCACAAATGTAAGGGGCACGGCAGGACAGAAGGAATGCACAGCGCAGGTGCTGAAGATAACTCCCCACTCCCAGGCCTCCCCCAACCCCCTTTCACCTCCCCCCAGCTGTCTAGCGCAGTTCCTGGGGAGAAGGAGGCCATGGAAGGGGGTGCTCTGAGCACGGAGGCTGGCAGCGATGGTGCAAGAAGACCCAAGTACAAGGATGGGCACCTCGGCCCTGCCCTTCCACGGGGCCCTGAGACATGGATGGCGAGCTCGCTAACAGGGCAGGTGCCCAGTCCAGGGGCCAGGACACACAAGCCTGGCAGCAGGTCTGCAACCGGCTGGCAGTAAGGGTACTGTCATCCCGCTCCGCCATGAGCAAAGGAGCCCGGGGAGGTGGGGCAATGGCCCCAGGCCACACTTCCAGCTTCCAGACGGTGGAGGACACAGCCGGGATCTGAGCTGCAGCCCCACAGTGGCCCTGCTCATCTCCTGCTCCATGGCTTGGAGTGCTCCTCGGAGCAAAGTGCCAGGGTGCAGGTGGCCCAGGCACACCCCCACTCCACCACTGGCACTTGTACCCGTCCTCCAAAGCCAGGCACTTGGCCTCAGCAGCTACTCACACCTGCTGGAGGGAGGGGACTCCTGGGCTCCAGCCAGCCACCCACAGTGTCTGCCTGGCTGCTCAGCCTGGTCCAGCCACTACTGACTCCAAGCACCGGACCCCAGAATCTCTTCAGAGGAGGGCAGCCCACACCCCTGCAGCCCCAGACTCTCCATCCCCTCTGTATCTGAGATGAAAGATGCTGACCAAGTTCAAGAGGACATGAAAGAGAGAAGCTGCTCTGTCTGGGACTTCTGCACCTCCCAACTCACCCCATGGAGAAGGTGGAGAGCAAAGTGAGATAGACACTGGATTACTGGGTTGTTCCATTTCCAGCAGCCTTCAGAAGTGAAGCAGGAGACCTCCTGCTTGTCCTGGGGCCTTCCAGTCTTATACTTCCCCTGATGCATGAGCCCTGCCATGCAGAAGAGCCACCTAACCTGAGAGCAAAGACATCTCTGCTCCTTGTGTCTACGTGGCCTCACATGGCTGTGATGCTGTCCCGCTCTCTAAGCCTTGGTCTCCCCATCTGTAAAGTGGTTCCAAACCGTCAAGCCTGTGGACCTGCTGTCTAGGTCTCCTCTTGGCAAGGTACCCCCAAGCCAGAGCACGTGCTGCTCCCTGGAATCTGCATATCTTGATGCTGGTGGGTGTCCTCATCTCCCAAATGGCCCATGTGAGCACATTTCTGGTTCAGACAGTTACCCTGTGCACCTCGTTTCTACCTTGACAGGGAGAAGTTTTTTGGTTCCTTAGGAATCGCCATATTGCACTGCTTGGGGGCCTGGCCTGGGCCACCAAAGCAGTGTGGCTTATCTGCCTCCTTCCACTCCAGCTGTCCTCCCCAGCACACTCCTGGAGCCTCACTACATGAAGCCCCATTAGGCAGTGCCACTCTTCGTGCCAACTCCGAGCAAGATCCTACACTCAGACTACACTAGCCTGTCCCGTGGCAGTTCAGGCCCAAGTCCAAGTCCTCCTGAGCAAGCCAGGCCACCTCAGACACCAAGTGGATGCCCTCAGCCCACCCTCCTGGCCCTTCACCCCTTTCTCTCTCTCTCCCATTAGCCTGCAGATGTTTCTTGGGGCAGGCAGGGGGAGATGGGGACAGGCCCTCCCTGATGCAGATGGCCTCTGAATGTCAATGGGCACGCTCCCCCTGCACCTTCCTTCTTGCCTCACAGCCTCTGCCCAGCAACCTTCCAGGGAAGGGGCCTCTGGCCCTGATTGGACAGACAGAAGCAAGGAGCCAATGAGGGGTACAAGGAGCCACAGCAAGCCTGGTGTTGTCAGTGAAGTGTAGCTGATGCAGCAGCTGATGCTGGCAGATTAGCGGGAGAGGGGGGCTGGGGGGAGTCACAGACAGTGACGCAAATGCTTGGCTGATGCGTGAGGAGACAGAGATGGAGAGAGAAGCAGCAGGAGGAGGGGGCGCCTCGCACCCCACAAGGACGTGCTCTGCGTCCCAGACGAGAAGACTAACTTGGAGAAAGTTTTCTACAATAGCCACCCTGCTTGACTCCCCAAGCTGTGCACACCCCCTTTTCCAAGCAAACCTCTGTGCCTGCCCTTGCAGCTACCTCCTTGCCAAATGGCCTTGAGCTTCTGCCCAGGAGGCATCCCCCAGAGGAAGCTTCAAGCCCCCGCAGCCCCCTGGCTCGGGGACACAGCCTGGTCCCATTTTGGGTCACACTACACCAAAAGTCTGCATTTACCACTAGTGTGGAAGGGAAAAGGGTCCACAGGAGAGGAGGAAGGTGTGGAGGTGCAGAATCCACCTCGGGCAGAGAGCGCAGCAGCCATGGGCATGGGTGTGGAGGGCCATTGGCCTGGTGGCCCTCTCTGGCCTCTGAGTGTCACCCCATCCTGGGGCCCTCACTCCCGTGCTGCTGCTGCTGCCCCGACGCCAGTACACCCCAGCATTGAAATGTCCGTTTCCGCTCACGCTGCCCAGCTGGGAAGGGCTGGCTTCTTCCGGACAACTGGATGCTCATCGAGGAGGGGGCAAGGCAGCTGGGCCCGCCGACACAGGCAGCCCGACCCACCCCAGCCCCCGGGGCCCCAGGCCCCCGGCCTGGGATTTTTGTGGCAAGGGCTTATGTGAAAGGAGGCAGCAGGCTGAGTGACTACCCTTCTCTCGCCCTGAGTGGCAGGGAAATAGGGGATGCTGGATGCCCAGCAGGGACCTCCTAGCTAAACTGGGAGGGAAGAGGAACAAAACACATTTAGCCTGGTCTTCCAGGAGCATGGCACTTTGTTGTACATGAAGGAGCCACAGCCAGAGGGTATGGGTGTTGGGGCTTGTCTGACTGTGTGTATGCTGGGCGCTGGCCACCGTGAGTGAGCATGAGTGGGCACAGCCTGGGCAGAAGACCAAGGGGCAGGGCTTCCCCAGAGGTGAGTTGTGACAGTCTGCACCCAGGGAGCTGAGAGGAAGCCTGGCGGCATTTTCCCATATGCACCGGCCTTCCAAGAGGCCCCATTCCTGGCCAGCAGTGATCGCAGTTCTGTCTCTTGGAACCGGAGCCCGCTGCTCAGTTCTGAGTGGACCCCTCATGGGTCAGGAGTCGGCATGAGGAAGCAGTGGGACGGCAAGAGCATACAACCCAGATCACAGCCCATGCAGCCAAGCCCAGTGACCAAATGCGGATGTGACAAGTGACATCTTGATGAAGCCATCAAAGCCTTGTGCAGGGGTTGGTTGCTGGGCCAACCTCAGGCCATGTTTCAGTGAAGCTCTGTCTTCAAGCATGTCCATGGGGCTCTGGGGCAGGAGCATCTCACAAAGGCAGAGCCTGAGAATATGGCCTCCCTTGTAAGTGCTCCCATCTGGCTCATGAGGGGAGAGGTGAAGTGATGGAAAGCCCCGTGTCTCCCAGCAATTTGTTGCTAAGATGGGTCGACCTAGCCAGTTCCGATCCTTTAGCTGGGTGCTGCCACGGGTCTCCAAGAAGACAGGTGGCCTGGTGGGAAGGAGACTCCTTTCTCCCATGGGGCCTTGGCACCCCGCCATTGGATGAGGGTGTCAATGACTAAATCATGGAAAAAACAAAGCCTGCAAGTGGGACCCCAGCTGTCACACCTGTCTCCTCTGGCCTGCCTATGAGATCCTGAGTTGGTCTCTACAACCCCAAGGCTCCAGACTGCCAGAGCCACCCTCCCAGGCTGTACCCCTACTCCCCTGTGTGACAGCCTGACTTACTGGAGACCTGCCCTGGTGATGGGGGTTCTGAGCATGGGGGAGGCTCTGCCCATTTGCACTGTAAATGTTCCCTTTGGACAAAGAGCCTCCAGTGGCCCCAGCAGCAGGGAAAGGACTCAAAGAAAAGTTCCCATTAAAAAAAGAAAGAAAGAAAAGAAAACAGAAAAGTTCCCGTGCCTTAGAGCCACCTTCCGTATAGACACCTAGGTCCTCTTTGGGTGTGTTTCAAGCAAATGCCTTTGAACTTCAAGGTCAGGGTCTTCTCTTGTGCCTAAGTACCTGGGAGAGGCCCTTCTCAAGCTCTTTCAAGGTAATGAACTGCCCCAGGGTTGGGGTGATCTGCATTATCAAGAGAAGGGTGACACTGAGGTAGCCAAAGTCCACCTGCTGGGGAGTCCTGTCTGACAGCCAAGGGGTGGCAAGTGTCTTCTCCCAGACTCCTTCCTTAGAGAGCTTCTCTCTGCAGCCAGCCTGGCAGCCCCTGAGCCTGAAGGGGGTAGCAGTAACAGAATCTGAGAAGGCGGTGTGTGTTCAGAAAGTTTCAGAGACAAGCCAGCTGGGCCCATCAACTGTCATTACACAGGAGAGGCATATTGGTGCCATCAGAGATGTGGAGGACTTGGTCAGGGCCTCATAGTCACATATCCGTTTGTCTCTTCCAACTCAGGTGCAAAGGAAAGAGCACTAGACAAGGAATCTAAGTCCTGCTTCCATCAGAACAAGTCACCTGAAATGTCACTTACCCTCTCTGGCTAACGATGAAGCCCTTTTCTCACAGTGCTCCTTGACTCCTGCACCTGGTCATGGGGGGAAGACTTGGGCATCAGTGCAGCCCCTCTGCTCATCACCAGGGTCACAGGATGCCATGCAGTGCCTCCCTGCCCTGTCTTCACTCTGGAACAATTCCTGGATGTCAAAGGCCCGTCTTCACAGGGAGAGCCCAGGCTGTGGGGCAGGCTTCCCAAGAAGATTGTAACGGGAATTGCAAGGATGAGCTGGCATGAACTCCGCAGGCCAGGCTGACAAAGGCCTGAACACAAAGATGAATGGTGCCGAGGCCCCAGGCAGGACATGGCATGGAGCGTGAGGGGGCTGGGGGCACTAAAAGTCAGGAAGTGTGACCTCCACCCCCTGCTCTGGTGCCCTCATCCAGTCCTTTCTCAGGGCACACACTTGGCAGACTGGTAAGTCTGGACCCAGGCAGACCTAAGCCAGCACTCAGGCAGCTGACCTGATTCCCCGGGCCAAAAGGGCTGGAATGATCAAACGTCCCATTTTATGAAGCAGCCTCCTGCGGCCAGGTCCCGTGAATGGGGACATCCTGATTCCTGGTCTCAGCAGCTACCAGAGGACAGTCAGCAGCAGGTTGCTTTCCTCCAGGGAGGGGTGGAGTGGGCACCTCTGGTGCTGTTCCACAGGGTCTCGGGATCTAGAAGGTCTCAGCAGCAGTCTGGGGGAAGGGGCCCTTCAGAGGCCTGCCAGAGCAATGGCTGAGCAGCTGGGTCTCCAAGCCCCGCAGTCCGATGCTCAGTACACAGCTCCCAGGGGCCAGTGTGAGCAGCTGAGCAGAGCGCCCTGACCTGCCCGATGCACAACGGGCAACAGGAAGGAGGTACACCACATAGAAAAAAGAGCTGGAGGAGACTTGGGTTGCAGAGGGGGAAATGTAATATGGAAAAAAAAAACGCATGAGGGGAGTATTTGTAAATGTGCTTTACAGGTAAATGACTTCTGCATGAAAGTCTGGAATTTTACCTCTTCCCCTCCAATCCCACCCCCAATACCCCAGAATCTAGACTTCTCGGCGTCAGCGCTGGAGGGACCCTGGGAGGCAGACATCTGAGATGAATCAGCTCCCTCCCAAGGCAGTGGGGAGGTTAAGGCCTGAGAGGGCAAAGGGAGCCATGGCCACCCGGCCACTGTCACTCCTGCGGGGCTGGGATTCCTTCTGGCTCTCCTGTGCCCACTTTCTAGTTCCTGGCAGGCTGAATACAAGCAACTGCTTGGGGTGACTGGGCCATTTCAGAGGTGGCTTGGCCTCAAAGGCCAGTGAGGGCTTCTGGGTAGAGCCCTCTGAGATGTCTCTGTGGAGGCCATGCCCAGCCCTGAGCCTCTGCTGTACCATGAGAAGGGGCCCTGAGGTACCCTGGGAGCCCTCCTCTGGGGCCTTGGCTGGCTCTGTGGCCCCACTCTACCCCCATCCCAGTTGTCTCTGCAGCCTGGGAACCAAAGCGGTGTAAAGCTCATCCCAGTGGGGCAGAGATGCTATCCCCATCTGCACACAGACAGCCAAGCAGGCCGAAAGGGACTCAGGGCTCATGGAGCCCACCTCCACCCCTGGACACTCATCGAGGAGGGGCATCTCTCCAGGAATACCCTGGAACCCTCACTCTGCCATCCATTCAGCCTTTGCCAGAGTAGGCCCAATAACAGGGAAATCCTCCCACTTTTGCCCCTGACTAACATTGGCCAAAACTAATTACTTCTGTCCTGGTTACAGGTGATCACGAGTGAGGCTCAAGGGGAAAAGCAGTGCCCAGCCCCCTCTCCCCACCCACAACACCTCCCACTCCAGCTGACCTCGGGCAGGGCTCCTGCCCCTCCTGGCAGTTCTCTCCCTGCCAGTCCCCTCCCACGGGCCTTCTTTCTCACCTTCCTGTCCACCCCAGGCCCAGAGTCCCCTGAGTTCCACCCTTCCCTCTTATCACTGCTCCCACTTTTGGATTAGACTATGGACACTCGGAGAGGAGAAAGCATTTGCCCACATTTTCATTTGCTCCACAAACATTTAGGAAAGTTGATGCTGGGCTGGGTGCTGGTCAGACAGACAGCCTGGAGCAGCTTGGGCTTGGGCACACCCAAAAGAATGAAAGAATGAGTAGGAGCTGGCCGGGCAGAAGCGGCGAGGCAAGTCCCGCTTTGAGTCTTCGGGGTTTTTTGTTTTTGTTTTCAGTCTAAACTGGGCACTGCCTGATGTAAGCATTTTCACCAGGGATACCCGTTCTTGTGACTGGAATCCTTGCGCCTGCTCTCTCCATAGTAACTCTTGGCCACATCAAGCTCTCTGGGAAACTGACCTAGTCATCAGAAAGTGGCGTGCTGAGCCAACGATCCCAGGGACCAGACCAAGGGGGCTGGACCAAGTGCCTGAAGTGTGCCCACAGATGAGGCCAAAACCAGGGACCACCAGCAACAACCAGCAGCAGCGTGGGGACTGCCCACCACTGGCCCCAGAGGCCAGGTCTCCTGTCTGAACCAGGGCGTGGCCACAGGGCTCTCTGCAACCACCTCTGTGGCCACCACCAGCAGCCCCAGTTCTCCGCTTGCTCTTGAAATGGAAAGTAAGCACACTCCCCACGGGAAAAGCTTAGTGTTCCTGAAAGTGGCCTCTGGGTCCCTCTGGGGTGTGTACTTAAGCTGCAGATTCCTGCCTCCCCACATCAGAGTTTGAGAATGACACCCATAGGGCCTCTTGTCCTTTCATTTTCCAGTCCCTTCTCCACCCAGGCCTGCCCCGCCCACTTCCCTATCCCTGTCCTTCTCAGTTCTCAGTCTGCCCTGTGCCTCAGCGCCCAGTGCACGCAAGAGATTGGCCAAGTATAATACATATGTGTGTATCTGTGACATCAGGTAACCTGGCTCCATTCTTAATCCTCAAATGAGTCTTGATCAAGTCCCTCTCTCTGCCTCAGTTTCCCTTTGGATAAATGAACTGACAGCAGCCCTGCCCACCTCTTGACGGCTCCATAGCCACTTCCCAGTGGACAGGTACTATCACACAAGTGCCTCCATGTCAACTTTCTCCTTCCTGAAGAAAACCACCAGAAATGTTAACAGTGGAAAATTGGATAAGGCTTCAAGGGAGTTCTTTGTACCATTTTTACAATTATTCTGTGAGTTTTAAATTAATCCAAGATAAAACGTTAAAAATAAAAACAGTGAAAATTTACAAAGAAAGCGTATTTTATAACAGGCATCCAGAAATGACCTAAGAATGAAGTGTTCCGTGGCAAATCATTTAACTGTGAATAGACACCGTGTGCATCATTGGCACAAACTAGCAGTGGTTTTTAAACAACTTTTTCCTCAAGTAAGGAGCCTACATCCCTCCTAGCCTGGCCCCAACCTCACCACTGGCCACCGCAGCTCCTGGAGGAGGCTGTCGTGGTCCTGGTTCAACTGACATCCCTGACAGAGCGCTACCTCTGTGCCAGGCTCCAGCTGCTTGCTGCTATACAGCAGGTGTTCCGTCTTCAACCTGCCTTCTGCACAGGTGACAAAACCCAGGCTTCCCCGGTTTGTGTGATGTGCTCAGGTTTGCACAACTAGATGGTGGTAGATGAACTGGGGTTCGAACCCAGCCTGACTTCCCAGCCACTCTCTTACCCCTGGGTTGGAAAGGCACTTCCCTGCCCCACCATTCACCCCCCTGCTCTACTTCATGAGTCCCCTGCCAGCTGTCTGACCCTCAGAAGCAATGATGCCAACACTTCCTGAGCATTAGTCTCAAGGGTGTGGGTCTCCCTTGTCCTGGTATCAGCCTGCTGTCTGCAGGCACAGCGGGAATGAATGCAGAGTCCCTAATGGATCTCAGCCATAAGGGACCAAAGGCCCGAGGCGCCCTGTGGGCTGCAGCTCTCCTCTTCCCCAGCCATGGTCCTATCCCATGCCATGAGGGCCTGGCAGCGGGGACAGCCTCAGGGCTCAGCAAGCAGAAGGCAAGCTGCTGTTACACAGGACCTGGCACTCTATGGGCTGTGGCTTGAAGCAACATCCAGACCAAAGGGATCAGTCACCTGTGGAGGCTGAGTGATGGAGGAAAAGGTGGGGGGGCTTCCCGAGTGCATTAAGCCAGACTGGGGACTTTTCTTGGCATGCGACTGAGGACAGACAGTTCAGGGACTGGATGACAATGCCTAGGGTGTTCGGGTCCCAGGCCCATGGCTGCGGGCTCAGAATCTCTGCTCTGCCAGATCTCAGGAGGCCACAGGGGCACTAGGCAGAAATGCCAGGAGCACAAGGCAGGCTCAGGGAGGCTGAGGTGGAGCACTGGCTGCCCCTGGGGTCACCGCCCTCAGGCGGGAGGCTCTGTCTGGAATCTGGACTCAAGTTGAGGAGAAAACGAGGTGTACCATTTCGATGCAAGTGGCTGCTCCTTACTGAGTGGCCTTTCTGTCTCCCCAACTAGACTGTCACTCCCTGGGCAGGCCTGAATCCAATTTCTTTCCAGGCCCACGCTGCTCAGGTCTGGGTGGAACATACAGGGGCTTAGGAAGAACTAGTTTTGGTCTTTCGAGGTCAAGGGGGAGGTTAGACTCAAGCAGCCCCCAAAGGATGTGCGGGCCTTGACCTGGCAGCTGCTGAGCTCCTCCTTCTGCTTCCAAGCCCTCCTCCTCCAGGAAGCCTTCCCTGATCCTCACAGCCAGAGCTGCTCCCTTGCTCCAGGCACCCACAGCCCCCTGTGCTTATGCCACTCAGAGCCACAGCACCTAATGTGGTTATGGGCCACCTCTACCGCTGACTTGTGAGTGGCCAGAGGGTGGAAATGGACAGACCTGGAGCACTTGCTGTATGCCTGGCCCTGTGCTGGGTGCCTTCCATCAGCTCTCTGCAGCTGAGTATGGTGCCCCCAGCCAGGCCAGGCTTCTGAGGGCCAAGCCAGGAGGGCACAACGGGGTAGGACAGGTGATACCTCACCTCAGAAAGAGGTATCACCTGCTCCTTCTCATGCTGGGGTGGCCCAGAGTTGATGAGGCAAACAAGTACCAAGGCCAGCTGGCAAGCTGGCCCCTCGTCTGTGCATTCATGTCCTGGCCACTTGCTTCTAAG